TGAACAGTATATCATTTAAAGTATGTAGGCTTTAGAAAAGCGATTACATTTATATCATAATTTTATACAAAGAAAAATAAACCGTGGTCGGTAGATGTAAATAAAATACCAACTAAAAGCAGTCAGCAGTAAGCAACAAGAACGTAACATGTTATCTATCGCACACGCAGGCGAGTGAGCCCGCACCGCGGCGCGCGCGCTATTTCCGATCTTATATCACACGGTAATGAGATCGGGAATAGCACTCGCGGCGGCGGCAAGAGCACACGCGCCTGTGTTGACGAATGTTCCTATACAAATCGTTCATAGTCTAGGAATAAGTGATGCGGCAATTTGTATCGATTATATTTATCGACATAAGGAAGATTATTTTTACGACTTTTACATATATTATTTATTAGTTTGTTTTTGTGGTTAGTATTTTGATGGATATAGAACTTTTCGGATAATTTATAAATATAAACATCAATTGTTGGAAGACCTATTTGATAATGTAACTTGTGGAGATTAGTGCGAAAGGGAGTATTAAAGGCATATTTGATAGCTTTATTTTGTAAAGTCTGTAGCTTATTAATGTTCGTTTTGCAGGTGCCGCTCCATACGGGGCATGCGTAGGTAATGCATGGACGTACCAGGGTGCAATAAATACGTAGCTTTGTGCTACTACTTAGACATGAGCGCCTATTTAAGATTGGATTTAGGGCATTTAATGCTTTAATACCTTTAAGTCGTAGAGTACAAGTGTTTTCGGTCCAGTTGAGTTTACTGTCGAGCTTTAAGCCAAGATATTTAACTGTTTTGCTCCAAGGTATAATATACCCTCCAATTTTCAGCGTTCGAGATGGTAAAGTTCGCTTTCTAGTAAATAGAATAGCTTCTGTCTTAGATGCATTTATTTTAAGCTTCCATTTATGGAAATAGAATAGAAGTTGTTCAATGGAGAGTTGAAGTCGATCTATTATCAAGTTTATATCTGAGGAGGTAGTAAAAGAGGCTGTGTCATCTGCAAAACAGGCTAAACTTGTCCGTGGTTGAACCGGGATGTCGTTTAGGTAGAGAAGAAACAAATATGGTCCTAATATTGAGCCCTGTGGCACCCCTGCGGGTATTGATTTTGAGATAGATGAGTAACTATTGATGTGGACTCGAAAACTGCGATCATTTAAGTATGACTGGATGATTTTTATAAGTGGAAAAGGCAGCCCAAGTCTTATGAGTTTATGAAGTAAGGCATTGTGCCAGACAGTATCAAAAGCTTTTTCTATGTCTAATAGAAACATACCCGTTGATTGTTTTAAATTTAAATTATGGGAAATAGTTTCAGCAACTCTGGCAAGTTGTTGGACTGTGGAATGGCCTCGACGAAACCCAAATTGCACATCAATGAGATGATGTTCGGATACACGAAGTAATCGTTTAAAGATTATCTTTTCAAAAAGCTTGCTAAGGCAGGGTAAAAGACTAATTGGGCGATAGCAGGTGGGATCTGTTGCATCCTTACCCGGCTTATGTATGGCAATAACTTTCGCAACTTTCCATGGAGTTGGAAAATAATTAAGCATAAGGCAAGAATTAAATATTTTAGTTAAGAGAACAATAGACTTTTGTGGGAGATTTTTAATGAGTATGTTACTGATGTGATCGGGTCCAGGGGCTTTACGGGGCTTTAAACTATATATAATTTTCTTAATTTCAACTGGGCGAACAAGCTTAATGGTTTCATTAGACGTACTTTCGTTAAGTTCAGCTATGGATTGGTCAATAGTTGGTATGATATCACTTTGCCAGTTATGAGTTAAAAGCATGTTAGTTTCGAAAGTATTTGCAAGGACGTTACATTGTTCTTGTTGGGTTGAAGTAAACGAGCCATCTTCACATTTTAATTTCGAGATAGGAGAGGTTGTGGTGGAGCGGATACTTTTCACCAGTCGCCAGAGGTCAGACCCGGGATTATCAACCCTTTTTAATTTAATATTCCATGTTTTATCATTATAGGCGCTTATGGCTTGATTTATTTGAAAATTTAATTGATTAATATTAATTATTAGTATTTTACGTATTAAAGTGTTTGATTCTAAGGTTGCATACCTGCGAAAACGATTTCTAAGCTGAATGAGTCGTTTAATACGTCGTGGGAAGGAGGAAATATTCCACGGTTTTAGGGAAGTAATGGGGACACAAGAGTCTCTGCCCTTTAGTAACAAGTTTTGAAAATCAACAATTACTGAATCAATCTCATTTGTATTGTTATATATTTTAGGAGATAGTGTTATATTATTGTTAAGAAAATTACGATATTTTGACCAGTCAGCCTTTTTATAGTTAAATTTTTTGATAGGATGACGATTAAATTTAGTTTTAAATGAAACAAACACTGGAAAATGATTAGAAGATAATGCTGGGATAGTAACAATATTATAGAGAAAATTGAAATTTTTATTTAGAAGAATGTCAGGCAGGGATGGTTTGTGTTCTACACGGTAATGCACAAGTGTTGACTCATGTGGAGCATGGATAACGTAATCACTATTAAGCATGTGTTCGTAAAGCTTATTACCATGGGTATTACTTGGCCCAGGTGACCACAGCGGGTGCTTTGAATTGATATCACCCATGATTAGGACTCGGGAACCAGATGATAAAATTAAGTCTATATCGTTAGTCAGGAGAGGGAGATTTGGAGATTGGTAAACTGAATAGATTATAACATTGTAATTAGTAAGTTTTAATGAAATGCCAATTACTTCAATATTCTGAGTTTTAGGAGCAGACACTAAGCTATGATCTAGATCCGAACGAACAAGTAAAGCTACACCTTGACCGATTCTATTAACACGTTTGTCTATACGATAACAGCAGTAACCAGGTATATTGAGAGTGAGTCGGTCAGTTAGCCTAGTTTCACAAAGAGCAATTATGTCGACGTTAAATTTACTCACCGCAAGTTCAGCTAATTCTTGTTGCTTACTGTGAACGCCATCAGCGTTCCAATACATAATGCGAAGTTCATGACAACTAAACATAATGTCCAAGATGAGTTAAAATTAAGATAACTTTATCCATGAAAGTTTTACACTTGGCAAATTCTTTTTTGATGGATTTTATAACAGTGAGAATTTCTAGCATTTCTGAGGTTTCAAAGTCCTGGGAAGTCTTTGCTACAGGATCCGAAGTATTCGTATCGTGCTGAGAAAAGGCAGTATTCCTCAGAAGTGTCTTTTTAGCTACATCTACTGGAGTTACAGGTCTTGGTCTGGTCTGATCTTTCTTACCTGAACTTGCGACTTTAGCCCAGGACATGCCAGGCAGATTAATTTTTGGATTAGTAATTTCGGGAATTACAGCCTTACGTAAAGTTTCACGTTTCGATTGGATTCGCTCAATATATTGTAGTCGTGCTTGGCACTGAGCATAATTGGCGGGGTGGTTATCTTGGCAGTTGCAACATCGGGCTGGTCCGTCGTTTTCTTTCTTAGGACATTCCCATGTAGGATGAGCAAGTGTACATTTTACGCATCGAACCGGCCTATTGCAGTTTCTGGAAGCATGGCCAAAGCCTTGACACCGAAAACATTGGGTGCCTAATTTTTTGTTAGGTTTATAACGTTGGATTTCGACGACACAATTCATCACATATTTTATTTGTTTAAATTTAGTCATATCCGTCCCTCTTGGTAACTGGACAAGTACAGGTGGATATTCTGTTGGATGCAGGGTTTTGATTTCGGATACGATACATTCCGGAAAACCTATTGAGGCTAGTTCAGTGGGAAGGGTGTCGTGCACTGATTTAGGTAAGCCTTTAATCACCGCTTTCGGGGATTTCTCATCTTTTCTTGTGAATGTATGAAAGGCCACATTTTCTTTGAGCAGACAATCTTTTACAAGCTGGTGATTTTTAGCGGAGTAGCATTGCACTCTTACAATGTTTCTACCTTTATATTGCATATGGAAATCTTTTATATGTTTTAAGATTAAGTCTTTAATTTTCTGATGAGTACAATCACCGAGTAACTCGATAATTATTGGAGGAGTATTGTTAACTTCCTTTTTCTTGGTAGCCTTTAGGTAGAATTCTGAGGTTTGGTTATCTACAGGCAAGCCTCGATATCGGTTGTTGGTTGGTATTTCTCTATCCTTAGAAGTTACTTTGGAGTTGGTGAAAAACCTCTTTGGCTGTTGCCATTGGTCTGAGGAGGTTCCATCTTCCCTTGGTCTCTTGTTGACTAAGTTTGGAATAGATGACGATCTGGTTAAGAATTTATCCATGATGAGACTAAGGAGTAATCTATCGATAATAACTTATCGATAGCTCCTTAGCCCATCATATAACATCAACTACTTGCTAGTGAAAGTCCCGTCGGCCCAGACGTTTTGGAGATCAGCCGGAACAAACAAACAGACAGCCAGACAAAAATTTTAAAAATTGTATAAAGACGCTGGAGTCGGTGTGTCAAAGAGTTTATTTTTTTAGTAGTTTGAAATATATCATGATTCATGAAGTAAACATTCAATTTTATGATTTAAGTAATTATAATAAATATAAAATTTAATATTTTATGCTAGAAATCACAAAGTCTTTGCTACAAATTTTAAAAAGTAACGTAACGGACCAACCTCGTATAGACATCCAACATCAACAGGAAGAACAAAGCGAGTATTGAATGACAATGAAGACGAACTACTACAAAACCCTTATTATTAATGTTTGCACATACATTTCTAATGCGAACATTTCTAGCCCACAATGTCGTGATTGTGTTCTTTAGTATATTTGCGGTCTTGGTTGCGACAAGGTAGCTGGTAGCATAATATGAAATACTCATACTTAAAACTGAACTTTATTAAAAGTATAAGAAAAACGAAAGCGATATATCCGTTACCAATATACTGGTCGGTCCCTTGTGTGCACATGTTCCTTTGCTGATAATTCATTTCTGGCAAAAAAAAACAGTGAGGGACGGCGGAGAACGCGAGTGACGCGTAAGTCATTGATCCCGATGCGTTCCCCGACGGCCGACGCCATGATCGCACTCGCGCCCGAGCCGCTATTCCCGCCTCTCATCCTCGCGATATATATTGCAGGCGTCGCCGGCGCCGGAGCCCTAGCCAACTGTGCTCTCTTGGCTGCACTACTCAAGCGGTCAAGAAACGGTAAATTTTAAATCACTATGCATGCCTTATAAAGTCAATTTCTTGTTTTTGGTTGAAACTAATTAACTACATTGTTTAACAAACAAGTATAATAGTGCTTACCGCTTAGACATAATAATAGTTAATACTGATTTTTATTATTTTGTTCCTTTGTTTTCGTCTTTATATTAGTTGGGTACTTTATTATTTATATTATAATATATTGTTTATTTTAAAGTTATAAATTTCTTAGTAGGTACCTATTTATGTACACTAAAACATACTAAAACAAGAAAAATGTAGTCACGGCTAGAAAAGATTTATAAACATAATTATTACAATACAATAAATATTTTCTTTTTGCAATTAATAAAAGTAAAATTATTAACTTTATAAAATTATCCTTGGGGAAAACTGGCAATTTTTTTGTTTTTCTTTTACTTAAATATACACAGGGGCGGCCTTAGCCATTGCGAGGCCCCGGGCAGTAGATCTTTGCGAGGCCCCGGGCAGTAGATCTTTGCGAGGCCCTTATCTTTTATGGGATTTATGTGAATTGAAAATATTTTTAATGACGATGCTTGACGAGAAATGCAAAAGTTAATAAATTTAGAGTTTTAAAATTGTATATTAGAAATTCAGAAAAGTTAACAAGCACAAAGAAGATAAATTTATTATTTTGTTAACATTTTTAGTCTTCGCGTGACTTGTCATTATTCTATAAGCTCATTTCGAATATTTTTTCCGAGATATTGATATTATTTGTATTTCTTTAGAATTCACGGGCTCGGAGGAGCCCGGCCTTTTGGGAGACTTTTGTTCCTCAGGTTCAACACGTAGAGACCCCTGATAAGCGTTTAACATGAAGCATCAGCCGGGATCCATCTCTGAGTAACTCATAAGGAATTGCTTAAATATGATCCGGATAATGCGTAGGGACTATGGAAAATGTAAAAAACTAATAGGGTTTATGGAATGGAGTTTGGATGGGCTACAAAACTGGGCTATTGGATAAGACTATCGGGCGTCCGCCTTCTCAACAGTCTCAGATTCAATATTTGGCGTACGGTTACTCGCCTCCCACTCGCGGTATAATACCTCGGGCACAGCATCAGCGTGGTCGGCTAAAGATGTCGAGAAATGTGCACCGGTTTCACCATCGCAAATGCTCGTGAGCGAGTTTCCTCGTTATTTTGCATATTGAGCACTTCTACTCTTTCAAGCTCTTGGCTCTTGCGCTCCACTCTGGAGGGCCAAAGACTATGGGCTAAAGAGTCAATAGACGTACTGCTTTTTTAAGCCAGTCTCTAAATTTAACCATCCGTTCACACCCGTTCTCTAAATTCCAATTAACCATTTTAACATACGATCTTTTTGCTGTCGACTAGATTAATGAAAGTTTAAATATTTATCCAAGTTTTTCCAATTGAAAACTTCTGCACTGGACCCAATTTTTTATATTCTATTCTGAACAATCGACAGAGAATGCTGTAAATGGCATATTTTTTTTGTGAATAAATCATCCAGTGCCTGTCTAATTTTTCGCCATTAGCTAATATTTTATTGTACCTAATGATACCTATTCAATGAATGAGTCTTTCTGTATAGTAAGTCTCAGTAACAGCCCGGAGTTGAGAAGTTGGCGGTGTTTCACCCCCGTGCCTCGGAGAGCACGTAAAGCCGTCGGTCCTGCGCCTTAACTCTCACTGGTCGTGTCGAGCAGTCGTCCCACCGGAGTATGAGAGTGACAGGAATAGAGAGTGCACTTGTGTCTGCGCGTACACTTGTGGACTATAATATCCCCTGCGCAGTTGGCTAGACTCAATGAGATTGGCCGCCGTGGCCGGAATCGGCTAGGAGAACATCATCATCATCATCAATGAATCACCGTCCACTATCGTTTGAAAGAAATTCTGTCTTAGAACGGATTAGACCTTTCAATGAAATCTTAGTTCGGTCTGCATCAGTAATTATTGATGGCCATAAATTTGGGTCATTTCAGGGATTCAGATTTTCAATGCCGCCACTGGATGTAGACATAGATTTAGATACGTATTTTTGGCTGGATAGTGTTGACGACGGCGGCGGCGGTGGAGTAACAATGATGTTGCTTACTCACTACTTGAAAAAAATATTTTAGCTGGGTTAGGGTTAGAATGCAATAACATGTCACTTTCAGTCACTAAAGAGTATCATGGACTTAGAAGCTTCTTGACCATTTTTTTTAAATATTTATACAAATACACATAAAGATATTCCCTAAATGCTTTCTTTTGATAGCTTGTTGCCTTTTTGAACTATCGAACTAATTTTTTCTACTGGCATCACAATCGGCCAAACTCAGTTTGAAAATCTTTTTTGCACATAAAATTAATAATAAATTACAAGCACTTTTACGCAGTTTTTTTACTAATTCACTTACTTTACTATTATTACTTATACTTCATAGTGCAAGATTTAATATTAATAAAGGTTTATTGAAAGATATGTGATATGTGCTTGTACTTGCACGTTGGGGGATTTTTATTACACGGCGTAAGTCACGAGATTCTAATACACTTGGGTTGTTGTGCGAAGGCGCGAGGCCCCTAAAAGCGCGAGGCCCCGGGCGATTGCCCTGCTCGCCACCCCCTAAGGCCGCCACTGAATATACATAAGTATGTAAATATTTACTAACTGGGGAAGGAATAATTATCTTTAAGTAATTAAAATATGATTAAATATGAATTATTATTTTAATTTAGCAATTGTAGTCATTGTAATCTTGTTTATTTATAATATTAGATAAGAACTAAAATCACTTTATTTATATTTCAGGGTTGTTTTTAATCATCATACAACTAGCTGTTGCCGATTTTATTCTACTAGGAACTTCAATCGGCCCGGAGCTGTGGTCTAACAACGCTAGGACATGGATATTCGGAAGGCCCGCTTGTATAGCATATCGAGGACTTATTATATTTACGTCCACAGCATCGTTATATTTATCTATTACAATAGCCCTTCACACTTTATCAACTGCAAATCTAGAACAAAAAGCAACAATACTCAGGACTAGAAGAAGCGATGGTGATGATGATGAGGAAATTAGGTCCTCACGTCACAGTCTGGTCGCCAGCAGTGACACATCCACCCCTCCACGGACAATGAATGTAGATTATAGACTCGTTGATACAAAGGTACCCATTGCACCACCATCAATCTTCGTTTGGGTGTTAGCTGTATCTCTAAGCATTCCGGAGTTTGCTTTGGCAACAACGGTTCGCCATGAACACGACATTATCGCGTGCACTCTAGTTGACTCGAGCCACAGGATTAATATGCATACCATGATAGCGCTCTTTAATTTATTTCTCCCGGCATTAATTTTGACAAGTGCCGGAGCTCTCATTGTGTGCCAATTAAAATCGAAGAAACTCTCAAAATTAGAGGGAAGTGAGACAGTTTCAGCGCTCAAACTGTCGTTGTGTTTAATATTAGTATATCTTGTTTTTTGTGCTCCGCGATCAATATTTTATATTTATGGATTGTATAGCTTACAAGATGTCAATAAAATAGATATTGCATATGAAAACGATACTATTTTAATGATAAATTTAGTATTCAGTGCTATGTATCTCGCCGCAGCTCTGTTGAGACCTATATTATGTATTAGTTTACTACCGAGATTAAGAAAAGTCTTCTCATTTGGATTTAAAAATGCTGATGAGGTATAATGATTTGTACCAATTACTAGACATTTACTATGTAAGTGTAACAATTGCTTTAAATATGTGTAAGTAACGATCTCCAAGTCAATTATCAATATATTAGAATAATGTTGTATTTCGATATATTTTTTTGTAAAAAAAACATAATATGATTACGTACTTAGGTATAAAATTAATAAAAATATATAAAAATATTTTAAAAATATCTCTCCATAAAACCAATTTGATGAATGTTAATTAATCGAACGTATTAAATATTTAAAAATATATGTATGTAGGTAATGAATTATGTTAACTACTAATGTTTTCAAAAAAGAAAATTCATCTTTCTCTTCCTGTTTTCATTTTCCATTGGCGATCTAAAATCTAAATTCTGATCTAAGCGAACAAATTCGTGGATAGTACGACAACGATAAAAACTACAAATGTCAAATCTTTGAAATATATTTTTACTAGCATTGCCCGCGGCTCCGCCCGCGTTCAGGTGACTAAAAACCTAATTCTTAGGTTTTACATATTAGTATACTCTTACAATGCAGTTTTTGTGTTTTTTCTCAGAAATGAGATACTTTCCTGCGGAAAAAAGTAGCCTATATATGTTGACCCGGATAACCGCTATCATCATACCAAATTTCATCAAAATCTGTCCAGTGGTTTTCTCGTGATGCGGTAACAGACAGACAGACAGGCAAAAATTCTAAAAACTATAGATTCGGCCTCTGTATCGATAATAATGTCTATTTCAATTAGATTTTCCAAAAAATATTTAACGTACAGATTTGACTTAGAATTTTATTATATGTATAGATTTTCAATCGACATAATCTATATGATAGACATGATCTATATATAGATATATCACAGACGTGATTTTAGACCATTTTTATCTAGTAATCTGTTAAGCCTATCATGTGTGAAGAGGCTAAACGAATTTCCTTTATCGAGCAGATTTAAATGTCCTTAAATATAATCATCATTAAATAAATCGCGCAATTCATACTTACAAAAAAATACTTTAATTAATGACCTCTACCGTTTGCATGGACGGTTAAATTATACACTGTGTACTGTGTAGATATACAAGAATCTCACTATTTTTAACCCTCGACCCAAAACATGGAGTTATAACTTTATAAGTTTAACGTATCTGTGTGTCTGTCTTTGGCATCGTAGCGTCTAAACGAACGAACATATTTTAATTTAGTTTTTTTGTGTGAAAAGTAACTTAATCGAGTGTTCTTAGTTATAAATCCAAATAATAATCAAGTAAATCCGTTCAGCTCTTTTCTAGACGATAAAAGGGTATGGGCGATTTTCACCGATCTAACCCATTAGCAACTTGGTATCACGTTACTTCAATGACATTGAAACGATATGGTATCCTTGGCCTAGTGCTGCAGTATCACCTGGAAACTGCAAAATACTTAACTGTACTAAACTACTTCAGAGATAGCATGTTTATGCTCATTAAGTAGGTTATTGTGTTGGGGTGTTTTTAATTTAATTTTAATTGTATTATTTCATAACGCTGTAACTGCTCAAGGGAATGAAAAGTAAATCTTTAAAAATCAAAAATGTTTTAACTCAAGACCTTATGAAGGATGTATATAAAAATTCCATGACTTTAAATATAAACTAGTTATTTTATTATTATTTAATTCAAAAGAGCTGTTGACAAACATCCAAATGGCGCTAAGATTATATTTTAAATTATTATTAGTTATTTATAGCCAAAAAATACGTTTTTATTGTAACAGAGTTAAAGTTAAATGTGCAAAATCTTTACTTTTCATAATATCATCAAAAACTTCCTACCCTATTCCAGCGCCTTTGGCTGTATAACTTAAAATAATGTAATATTCAGTATCTGTGTACGTCACAGAAATACGCACACCGCGCCGGTGTCAAAGTGTCGATTAATATTTATTAGCAACGAGGACAACCAAAACTGTTAGATTTTCCTTAGTGGCAGTTTTCAGAACTAACGCTAACATCATCATCATAACATCATCACTCATACACTTTGTCTATGGATATTTTCACAAAATTTGCACACTTTAAAATTAAGATGGAATTAAATTAACTTCCTACAGATTATAATAAACATAGCTTATATTATCTAACATTTTTTAAATCTATACAGTATACCTACTTTTTGATTCTTTTATTTCTTTTCTAGAAGCTTTCATCCTAATAATGAGGACAGAATTCAATGTGCAGTTGTATTTATGAAGAAGTTGAGCCAATTTCTCATGTGTAAGTACAGTAACCGCCAAAAAGTAGAATCAAGATGGCGTTAATACTCTTAGTTTTTATTCGTTAAGTGAATACTTCAATTGTACATCTTTATCTACGTTTTGTGATTAAATACCTAACTTAACCCCTTGATAACATAATTTGTGATAACTCCCAATAATAGGAGAGCCCAAGAGATTTTGTGCGTTACTCGAGCGCGTCAGAAAATCATATGGGAGAAAGCTTGCACCCTGTAATGTACCCCTGTCATATATAAACCCATAATTTTACAGGTCAGATTAGTAAATTGATCCTCAAAAAAACCCGAGGGCGTCACATTAAGACAAGGTAAGTTAAGTACATGCAGAAAAGTGTATATTTCATTAATCTGACAATTTGAGCGCGGCATGAGGAAATGGACGAGTCACAAAGTTGTAAAAAAAATGTCACAAATACTGGAGCGCGATTGATTTTTTTTTATGTTGAACTATTTTCATGGGTCGATATAGCTAAAACCATTAATAAAGGATGATGCGTAGAGATGCTGAAAACTGTGTATTTCCCACTTCGCCCTCTTTCCTTCTTACTCTTTCTCTCACTCTCGCACCTCGCAATGTGGGGAACATTGCCGCCATGATGCCATCTCAGCTGATCACCAAAACGTTATAAAGTTTTTAAAGCTGGGTTTAACAGTTTTTTTTTAGAATTAGGTAATATTAATATATTCTTCTAACAATATTATAATATAACTAATACTTCAATATTTTTGATATTTATCTCAGGTGTGTCACTTACTACTGCATTCTTGTTCAATATTACTTGTAGTAGGTTTGTAACTAAGTATTTAATATTGGAACCAGTATTTTAATATAATATGTGACATTGGTAATAAATTTTAATTGCCATAAAAGGTAATAATGTGTAGGTATAATATGAAATATTTTTTTAAATTGTCAGGTTAACTATATCCCTCCATATAACTGTCATATTATTATTTAGGACTAGAACATCAAGTTTAACCCTCTGTATGAAAATCAAGACGCGCTCGAGTATTTCAAGGTCACATTTTTTTACATTTTCTAAAATCGCTCATGGCTTTTGGTCATGTCCAAAACGTCAAGTCATTTGAATAGGACACTCTTTTGAGTTCACTAACATTCCCTCTGAATATCTGACACGCTAGAATAACTTTTTTTCTACCCCTTTTTTCTGCACTCCCCCACTAGTTAATCGTCAGATTAATAAATCTCTTGGTTATCAGAAAGACAAAGCGCGTATACACTAGTCTGACGCGCTCGAGTATTTCCATAGCGGTATTTTTATTTTTGAAAATTTGTACACGCCCTCCCTCCTCTCCCTCCCTCTAAATTGAATAACTTAACAAACTTTTATCGTTTTAGAACCTGATCTTCATAATCCATGACGGTGTAGTACCAGCAAATTTAGCATCCCAGGCTCCCCCTACCACAAATTATCAACCTAATATTTTCTTTACTTCATTGAATATCTTTTAGTTATTCCTAGTCCCATGCAATTGTCTAAGTCGATTATAATGAAATATGAAGACAAGGCTGTGATAGTAATTAACTATGCCACTATGCTATAATTCTCATGTGTTCTTTATAATATGTTCTATTGATTTCTATTGTAATATGTGAAATATAATGCGCCCATATTGCCAAGGTACTTTGGAATAGGTAAAAACTACGTCGATGTTACATAGTTTAGACAAACATCTGTTTGGGGTTAATAGGTGGCGGTTTATTTAAATATTGGTTCTAAAACTAAAAATTGTATTTAATACAAAAGTTTATTGGTGAAAACATGAAAAATATAATAGATTAATGGCTGATAAAATGCAGCAGAAATGTTACAATATTCGTCCATCACAAAACTATTTTGCTAATAAATGCCTGAAAATTCAGAATGCTATTGGTTAATCAGTGATGGGCACAACAAAATGGTTAATGTCAACGTTAAGATTCGCTTTGGTAATATGTATTTATAAGTCGAGGACATCACAAAACCACATAAAAGACACTAACAAGTTTTTTGTGCCCTAATTCCATACAGCCATTACATTTGCAGATATAATGAAAATCTATCATCATTCAATCATTGGTTATTGGGCGTAATTTTAACAATTTAATAACTAATTGCATAATTTTAAAAGGTTCACCATCATGATCTCCTTTTCACTGCGGACATGCGGCGAAAGGAATGTAATCGGGGGGCCGACCGGGCTGGCGAGTCGTAATCTCTAATCGATAAAGGAAAACACTTTTAACTTAAGAAACCGTAATTTTAATAACTTAAGTTATAAATATTTATATTCATCAGGTCAGCTCGATATCTGTAATCCAGTGTAAATACAGAAATACAAAACCGTCAAAGATGACACAACATTTAATTTTAGACGGAACGTGAAGGTCCGCTGCGAACGACATTTTTAACATTTTTTTTACAAGCGACGGCTCGCGGCGGTGGCGCGACGTTCTCGAATGTTACTCGTTTTCTTATAAAACACCGATGAGAACAAATGCGTGTGGGGGTGGCGGCGCCGCATTAGTTGTCGCCGCCCTCGGCCGGCTCGTCGCCGTCGCCCTGCGTGTCCGACGTCCACAGCGTCAGGTTGTCCCGCAGCAGCTGCATGATCAGCGTCGAGTCTTTGTACGAGTCCTCGTTCAACGTGTCCAGTTCCGCGATCGCGTCATCGAACGCCTGCAACGTCACACACACATGTTCTATCATTATTCTTACTTACAAAAAAAATCTAAATAAATTCAAACATCAAAAAATTTAACTTAAAACAGTGAGATGCTGGCTGGGTCGAGAATTAATAAAATGTTAATTGCGTTTCAACATTGCCATGCCGAGTCAGTTAGTCAATCTGCCTTTACTTTTGGATAATACCTATGTGCTACAGAATACTTCTCATGCAATTAGGGCTCGAGAACTGCGACTGTCAGAGCTCAGTTAGTGAGGATTTGCGTTAGTGTGGTTCACACTCGATCTCAATACAAGGCAATAAACCTGTTTGGCTAAGTGACACGCCCTCGCAGGCGAGTTGATAATCTCGTAATAGAATACGGAAAAGTTGAGCGCGAGACCGAGCCTGATGGGATGGGTGGGTTGCATTTTGGCCTTAGCAATGTCGAACGCCTCCTGGTAGGCCTTCTGCGAGTCCTCCACGACGGCTGGGGACAAGCGAGCACGTTAGTACGCCGAGCTTCGTCTCGTGCCAGCCAGCACCAAACCAATGCGTAACTGACACAAATAATGACCTGTTTGGCGAGCTGACACGCCTTATCTGGTGAATTTAATATCTCATAATAGAAGACGGAGAAATTTAACGCCAGCCCAAGCCTTATTGGGTGTGTGGGCTGCATTTTCGCCTTGCTGATTTCGAAAGCATCCTGGTATGCTTTCTGTGAATCCTCTACAACAGCTGCAATATAAATGTTTATTAACTAGTGTGATCCTATGTTATAATCATCGCAGCGATATAAAAAGAGAAAATAAGCAATGAATTATATACATAATATGTATAAAAGAATGTTGAAACTAATATACTACATATGAAAAACTTACAATTTCTGGTTTCTCCAGTGGCCACTTCTGCGAGGTACCTGTAGTAATCTCCCTTCATTTTAAGGTAAAATACTTTACTTTCTGGATTACTAGCTTTAGGGATAAGGTGTTTGTCGAGTAAACCCTGTAACAAAGATTATTTCTTAAGTTATTATTGTTAACATGTAACCACGACAAAAAATACAGTTAGGTTTAATAACCAATGTCTTAGAAAGATATTTAAAATAAATTCAATGTTTAATTTCTACTGTAAGACGCAATAATGCGGCGCAGTTCCAGTATTGATTACTCATATTTAACACACCACTGCACGATAGATTTACGAAACATGAATCGTTTGAATGAACTTATGTTTTATTTTACGTTAATTTTATATCAGTAAAATAAGAATCTGTAGGTTCTTAAGTTTTGAAATCAAATTAAAGTATAGTGGCTAGAGATAGGGGCAACGAACGAAGATGGGAGAGCAGGGCGACGCGCGCAGTGACGCGGCGCAGTACGTCACCCCGCCCACCCCCTCCCGCGGAAAAGCCGCACCGCGCCCTGCATGCTCTCACATGGCTACCTTGTGCATTTTACAGTGACCATGATTACCAAGAATGTACTAGATATGTAGGAAACGAACGCGACAACTAAGCGCTTGCATCATCCCTCAAATTGGCAACGAGCAAATACGATGACGTCATACGCGTAGGAAGGTTAATCTGGCATCGATCTACTTAATTTGAGAAGAAAAAATTAAATAAATTAATAAAAAATATAATATGTTCAAATATAAAGTCGGTTTAAAAAAAAGGATCGTATCTGAAAAATCGTCCTAAAACGTCCTGAAAAGGAAAATATTAAAAAATTCTAAAGCTACTTACCAAAACGTCGTAGCAGATTTCTCTGAGCTCTTTTTCTACTTTAACCCTATATTCTTTTGCCATCTGTTGTTTTCTTTCCGAACCTTCGGTTTTCTGTTCAATTGAGGATATGACTCGCCATGATGACCGTCGAGCACCCACGACGTTCTTGTAGGCAACAGAAAGTAGATTTCTTTCCTCGTTGCTGAGCTCGACTCCGGTTTCGGTGACTTCTTTCATCGCCGCCGCCATGTCGTCGTACCGCTCAGCCTGCTCCGCAAGCTTGGCGCGTTGCACCAATTCCTCCTTGTCGACGGACATATTTGATGATTTAGAAGACTATATTACTGATGCCCCTGTAATAAATTAAAAAAAGGTCAACGGCGAGAAAAAATTACAATCGATGATCCTAATACTGGATATTTTCTCAGAAAGACTAATCGTTGGGCGTCACTTTCACCGAAGCGAATCCAATTTGGTATGAGTCATCATAAAATAAGGCGCACCTTGTGTAGAGGCTCACGAAGCGCACTAGCGCAATGTAAAAACTCGCAGTAGCTCAGAGAGCGACCCTCACGCCAAACGCGACATCGACGCGGCGTCCGTTCGGTTTGACAGCATCTCACAGACTCGACCGACTAACAAGGCACGCGCCGTCGCCTAGCCGCCGTCGAACCACCGACACTGCGCCAACAGTATTGATCCAGCGACACGGGATAAACACTCCAGACGAAATACGACTAGCGCGACGCTTGCACACACCCCTCACCCTTCCACCCCTCCCAACCCGTGTACACACCCACCCCCTTTGCACTACACCGCACAGTGCACCCTCTGCTACCCCCGAACCCCCGCCCCCGTTGAACCTGCACGGCCCGGCCGCCTACCTCACTCTATCCACCCTTATCTATCTATCTATCAATCTATCTTTCACTTTGTCCTGTTGCTAAGCATTAATACCTAATAAGAAATAGGTATATCTCAATTAATAAGCTAATTGCTTATGAAAGAGCAAACTGTCAGACAGTTTGAAAAGTAATGTTGTTCATTTAGGTATAAATTCAACATACATTCAACAATATATTTTAGGGGTGTGGCCTTCACAATCCGATGTTAAGTCTTTTTTTAACTTAAAGTTGTATATTATGAAATACAAAATGTAAATAAAATCAAGAACAAAATGTTCGTTATATCTCTTCTGCACAATCCCAATTGAAACATTATTCATAAAAGATATTTTTATACATATCCATATTATGGTAACAATCTTTAATATTGAACATATTATCTAACTTAAGGCTCTCAATTTTTTTTTGTTTATGTTTACTTTAATTATCTTTATTTTTTATCTATCTCCTATCCTCCTCCAGATGTTGCTTAATCATTAAAGTTTTCTTAAAAGGTCAGCAAGGTAAGCCTTGGTAATGATTTAGACTGAACAATTGCATCATCAATGTTGTTTCTGCACTATTAGTTAGTAAATTTAAGTCATTTTCATATTACATGAAAATTTACTTTTCATGCATAAAGTAAATAAGATTTTATGACTATCATAAGTCATAACTCATAACTAACCAGCATGTTAGGTGTTTTAACTTCGATATTTGATCAGATATTAAAAACTTTACATTTGTTAGGATAAACTAAGTATAAATTTACTTTCTTACTTTTTTAAAATATAAAAGTATCAACTTTTTCTTCAGGTTTCTCTGAACTATATAACTTTATAAATTTGAGTAGTTATAAGACATTTCGTACATTTAATTTAGGCATTAAGTACAAACTAGCAAAAATTAATATATAATGACTCATGACATACTTTAGTGATGCTTTCATAGAATACTACTAAATAGAATTTTCAGAAATATTACAGGAATTTCGTTGTAATTTTGCTATATGATGAAAGACAAGAATTAGTGAAAATTGTATGAATTCTAGAAGAGTAGAGTCCAGTTTTAGCCTATGTTATGCACGTGTCTCTATCGTCAAAAGGCCGCGCCATAAGCACCAATTTAGAACGTAATTTGAAGAATTTCTTTACTGGATATGTACATTGCATAAATGAGGATTTTAAGGTTAATTCTTACTATTAATTCTATAACTTCAATGACATATATCGTTATCGTCATAGATAACGGCGTGACCAACTACGAACGACAAAATTACGACGCACAAACGACATAGTTCTAACATTAGAAAAATTATGAAATAGCCTATGAAAAACAAACCTAAATGGCATAATTTAGGTAATAAAAGATTGCATTCTTTAAAAATGAGGAGGATTTCTAACTTTAAGGATCACGGGCACTATGACAAAATTGTTTAACGAACCAATATCCAAAATCAACTTACTGTATATTTTTTCACCGAATTTGAAGTAATAGCGACAAGATTATTCTAAATAATTAAGTCGAAAAGAAATCATTGAATTAAACTATAAATTCGTACTGCAAAAACTTAGAATTATGTCCAACCGCACCGCAAGTCGCAACACCGTGTCGCCGGTTCGGGCAAAATGGCTGCTGCAAGGGACACTCCTTTTATGCGTCACAGTCACAAATGTATGTAGATATATGATTTTAACTTAAGCACTTGAAATTCACGAAAATAATCGCTCACAATATTATTTCAATACACTTACTTGTTTGAAGGGATATAAAGTAATTAAGCCAGCAAATTGCGACACAGTATCAATTTTTCTCTTGCGGTGAACGATACACTACACTGACGGCAGCGGGGCCAGAGGGGAAACAAAAAACGGAACAGGGTTCTCATAAAAGGTCGGCCATCTTAAAATGCTTAAGTAGGAAGCAAAGTGGTTCTACGTTTCTGAAGTGACAGAATTCTCTATAGTATATACTTTTGTCTCTTTCAAATACAAGGAAAAGAAAAGGGATAATTGAAATAGCTATAAAATTGTACAGGAAGTGCATCTTAAACCCGCGCTTTTTAAATTAAAATCAGCAATGATAATTTTTTTCTTTGTATACCTATTTATTATATTATTGTATTGTTATTTTATATTTATTTTAGTATTGTAATAATTGAAATATTTAAATCTGAAGTTAGCTGCCACACTTAAAATATATTCATAAATAAATAGGTCTATAGTTATGTTATATTAAGGTATGACACAAATATATTAAAATTGTTAGCGTAATTCATATAATTTATGCGTAAGTAATATTTTACAGCCACTTTGAAAAATCTTTTAACTTTATAGGTACCAAGCTATTACAAGAAAATGTAATTATTATATATTATTTAGAAAAGCATAGCATTTTCAAAATCTGTTACAGTACACGTAGTTGGGTAGACTAATAATTTATTTAGTCTTTTATTCGGAGAAATTACTTTTTAATAAATAAGTAACCTTTCGTCATGAACCTTAAAAGGAAATATAAAGTTCTTTTTGACTTAATAAGAGAGCATATTGTAGCACCTCTTATCTAATAATTTATCAGTACTTATTATTTATTTATCATATGTAACAGCATTTAACGGATTTAAGTGTTAAAAAACACTAGAAAGCAGAACTAATTCTTCTATTTAGTACTACAGTAATTTTTTAAGTGGGCAATAAGAATTGTGCGTCATATTACTTATAAGATTTAAGTTATATCAAATGTATAAAAATGAAATAAAATTTAATTTTATAAACTATGATTCAAATATATTACAAAAATAAAGATATTTTTTATAAAAAAAATTTATTCTCAATTTTTTCCAAACAATTCAAAAGAAGTATAAGTTAAAAAATAATTATTCATTACTTATTGTGAATTTCTATTAATTTGAGTTAAGTGCCATATACTAAACTCTATTAATGCACAATGCACATGTATCATGAAACAAAGATAGAATCGTAGCATTTCTTTATAGTTTGTGGACAGAACTATAGTCTGTTTTTTAATCCCACAGGGCACAGACTAAACTGACACATGCAAATGTCAAATTTACAAATCAGGGGTCTATTATCTGCGTTTCTTTCGCCAGTCCTTCTCAGGTCTGAGGCTTCTTCTTTCCGAACTGGTAGTAGACTCATGACGTTCAGTAAAAATTGTAATAATTTAATGCTGAATAAAATATGTTGAATTTGAAAAATTAACAAAGGCGGCAAAGTCCTTTATAATGCCAAACGTCGATTTTAATTTTATTGGTTGTGGTAACATCTTTCCTACTAGATCACTTTGAGAGATTCGTCATTCGAATCCAATAGATTTCGATGTTAGATTAAGCATATATGTATACTCTAAGATTTCGATGCTTAAAAGAAACGTTTTATGACAAATTCGGGAAAGTCCTCGATCAAAAAACAGACACAAACGTGTATCCATGGATAACAAATAAGGTGTTAGCTCTGTGAATAATTTGTTGTAGCTGTCATTGTCATTATAGATTGTCATTTATCAAGTCAGCTCACAGCTGTCATAATCACATTTTTGAGTTGTAAACACGTGTGATAATATAACATTAAGTATATTTCCTCCGTAGAAATTAATAGTTAAATGTGTATCTACTTTCATAAACCAAAATTATAAGTTTGAACAATCAATATGCCTAAATCCAAAAGAGATAAGAAAGGTAACAATAACTTAACCTATACATTATATTTGAAATTTATTATGCAGTTTAATTAATAGTTATATTCAGTTTAATTCATTTTATATTTTTGTCCTCAGTGTCGCTAACTAAAACTAATAAAAAGGGTCTTCTACTTAAACAAAAGACTATTGAAGAAATAAGAAATTCTCTGTCTAAATATGAACATATATTTCTTTTTACTGTTGATAACATGCGAAACACAAAGTTGAAGGACTTGCGTAATGATTGGAAAGACTCTCGGTTTTTCTTTGGTAAAAACAAAGTCATGGCAATAGCTCTTGGGAGAACTAAAAGTGATGAAGTAGAAGATCAACTTAATTTAGTGAGTTTTTTTTAAGTTTTAGATTTGGTAGTCAAAGATTTTGGTAACGTTTTTATTTCATAATATGTTATATCGAATTATGTTGGATTTTGTAGCTCTCCAAAAAATTAAAGGGTCAATGTGGCTTACTGATGACTAACAGGGATGTTGTAGAGGTATTAGAATATTTCAAAAATTTCCGTGAGACTGAATATGCAAGAGCTGGATTTGTTGCTACTCGTGATGTTATTTTACCAAAAGGGCCACTTGAAGATTTTTCTCACACTATTGAACCACATCTTCGTCGCTTGGGGCTACCTACATCACTTGAACGAGGAGTTATTCATCTGATAAAAGAATATCAGGTATATTTTGTTTATCTTTATTTAATTATAGTAACTTTACCTTTAAATTATAGCAAGTGATAATTATTAAATGAACCCTTTTTTTATGTAACAGATGAAATTAGAAAAAAACCACTGTTCTATTTACTGTAATACTCTACTTTTTGCTGAAGAATTAATTTTGTTTATTACCTCTAGGTATGTAAAAAAGGTGCTCAATTAACACCAGAGCAAGCAAGTATCTTAAAACTCTTGGCAATACAGTTGGCTAAATTTAAAGTTCTTATTAAGTGCCACTGGACAAAAGGTAAAGGATTTCATAAAGATATTGATCTACCATCAGATGAAGAAGTTAGTGATGATGAGAATAATGAACTTGCAGAGGAACCAATGGAGGATGATGAAACTTAATTTCAATTTGTATATTTGTTATTATAAGGATGTTCATAAAGTAGTTTATTTTATTTGTTTCTTTATACTTTATACCCAAACCACATAATACTATACTAGTCCTCCCTCATCTCATACAAAAAAATGGGACAGCAAGCACAACTTTTGGGCTTTTGGGCTATTTTTGTGTACTTGAATAGATAACAATAGATGTCTTTGATCAGCAAATAGTTAAACTGTTTTCTTTTATACATATTGTTAATTATCATATAGTAAATATTGTAAAAACAATTTGCGATAATATTAAACCATTTTTAACCGCGTTAAATAACTCATAAAAATTAAAAGCATCTTTGAATATTCACTATATTCCCATCTAAAGCAATTTTTCTATAATCAAGATAAATACGCAATTTGATTGGCGGGCACATTATTTTGTTTTTCTTCTCATAGAATATTTCTTAAAACGATAATGTATATTTTTGGGATCCATTTTTTATCTTTTTAATTTTACACAAACTTCAATAGCAAATCGATACATATAATGTCATCTATTGATATTTAATTGAACTAACTTTTCTTTGTTCCTGATGAAACCCCATGCTTTGTAATAATGTTCATTTCTATAATAATCCTTTCTTTAACACACTTTTATTAGCTCTTCTTGCTAGTAACAATTATTGAGGACATCATTTTCTCTCAAATGTTTCAATTTGATTTTTTTTAAATATGTTACGACAACAATAGTTGTTTCCCATTTGATGTTGTTTGATAAATCTGTATTGAATATTGTCTATATAAGAAGGCTCATACAAAGAAAATATTGGAAAAATCGCCCGAAAAAACAAAAACACCATTTTTCGAATCGGGAGTGCTGGTTGATACACACTAGATTTAAAAGAACGCGGTCTGTCGGGTCGGCTAGTTACATATAAGATATAAGTATGAAGTATGAACGAACAAAAACCAGAATGTGTATTTGAAATGTTTTTAATAATCACAGTGGAAATAAATTATTTTCATTAAAAAATAAAAACACCAAATAATCAGTTATAGCAGTGATTCATTTACGAACAAGTACCTAATGTAAATGACTTAATATATAAAAAATATTACAAATTAATTATTAGCATTCTAATTAAAATTATATAAAAATAAACTAATCATATCATAATAGGCCATGCCTTTCTAAACACAAACAAAATATAATTACATTTAAGTCTATCGTAAAACAAAGAAACTTACAAACAGATAATCACAGTACAAAAATAAAGCATTGCTTTTCAACCATAATCACAGATTTTACTGTCAGCAAAATATATTCTCATACAAATTCAAATAAACAGTATTTGCAACATTAATTGTTGGTGTCTTAATATGCTTAAGTGCCTTGGCAAATGTTATTTTAATAAAACATGTCAGTAAAGTCATAGAAAGAATCGTCTGATATTAATTTTATTTTAATGTATTTATTTTAGAAGCTCCATCTACTAAATTAACAAGGTTTTATAGTGACAAAATTAAACAATGACAATAATGTGAATTTGAGATCACTCTATCACAAAAAAATCAATATTTTACCACTATAAAGAGAAGGAATAAATACAGTGAAATTTTATAGCCAAGTCTTATACCTAGAAATTAATCTAATGTTTTCTACACTGGTAACTTAATATTTCAAAAGTGAGGCTTGCAAAATATGTGATATAACCTATGGTAAAGCTCTATGACCTAAAAGGCTGCATAAAGCCTATGAGAATCGCTAAAGCTATATGTAACTTTTTAAGAGTTGCCATTTTGGTGCCACACACACACATCTATACAATCTAAGATTTTGAACACAAATACCACAATTTAATGATACATAAATCTTATACATTATTAGCATTCATCAATCATGAAATCGATGCTAGGAATAATAAATATTATACCTATGATAAAGGGTCGTTCATAAAATACGTTCGCACGTATAGGGTATTTGATCACTTACTGGGATAAAAGAAAGTTAACGTGACATACGCAGCTCACCAAATTATTTTATTGTATCATTTCCGTCATAATGGCTTTAATATATATTTCGGAACATTTAAAAAATATTTATTTTTCGTTATTATAGATATTTATTCATTTATTAAAGTTTTATTATTGGAAATATTATAAATATTTTAAAATGTCGAAATTTGTGTACTAATAATTGCCAAATATCATGTAACGGCGGGGGTATCTATTATAATTCGTGACGCAATAATGATAGGGGTCGCAGAAAATGTGACATAGCGTTTTTGATTTCGCGTGACGTATTTTATGAACGGCCCCGAATATTATATTTGAATAAAATGCAATTACACGTATAACCTTATTAATCATCCATTCCTTATCTCTTCTTCATTTTTCATAATTACTAAAATTTAAATATACATTTTATTGTTTTTACTTCTATCGTTGCGGGTTGTTGAAAAGCTTTTTGGTGTAGAACAGGGATGGCAATGTTACCATTTAGTAAAACAATTGTCCTATAAATCAAAATATTTAATATATTTTGCCTTTTTGTCTGAGGTTTGCCATCCCTGGGATTAGGTAAGTAATGTTTTAATTGTTAATAAGCAGTATTGGTGGGTTTTAAAGACCAAGTCTACATTTTCATAAGGAACACAGTTATAATTATTATGAATGTCTAATGGTAATAGTTTTTGAATATATCTTTTACTTATATTCGGTACTGGATTATTTCTTTTTAAAATTAACCATATCAAAGGCATAATACATCAAACTGCGAGTATTACCAATACTTTTCCTTTAAAGTTCACAAATCCGATGTCTTATCAATAAAAAAAATCAAATTATGTTATGTATTTGTATAAGAAATAGTAAATTTTATACAAATTCATAAATATTATTAGCATGCATTACCTATGTTAAATTGAAACTGGCCGAACTATAACAAACTGAATTAAGTAGTATAATTCGTACCACAGAAATCCTAAATAAATCCCGCATAATAAAGTAAAAAGAAATGTAAGGATCAAAGTAGGACCTTATCGATAATCAATTAATGCTCATAGATATTATTCTTTATTGTTTGACGCATTTAAACCACTCACAATTTTTTATCTTCTCTGCGACGTTTATAGCCTAATTTACATTATAAAGTTAGTGGCATAGGGTTACTTTCATAACATAAATATCATAACAACTTGTAAGCCTCTAATTTCTTTATGTATGCATTTATAACGAAACTAGTCACGACACTTTTTTCATAAAACTAATGTCACACACAATTTCATCGTAAAAATACAACGCGGAACTATGTCGGCTGAATGGTCATGGTCTTATTGTTCACTGATTTGTCTATTTGAGGACAAAACAAGTTTCGTGGTAAAGGTGAAATTGTAATTAATTTCACGAAACTTTAAATTTAACTTTAAATTGGTAATTTTAAATAGTACTATTTATTCGCTGTTTTATTTTGATTATAGTCTCTCCCAAGACAATAAATACTACAAAGCATTCGAAACGGGAATTAAAAACCAAAACAAAACAGCACCGAAAAAATAGTTTTATTTCAAATATCAAATAATCGTATAAATTTTAGATAGTTTGGTCACAGTATAAAAACCCATACATTGGCGAAGTAATCTATGCTCAAATTGGCACGCTTTAAAGTCATATAATTAACAAGAGAATTGAATTGCTTATGATAGTCAGTATAGTGTCGAGCGTCGACGATTGCAGGGTCTAGACGCCTTTGTTACACAATTGTATGTATTAATATGTGGTATGGCAAAGTAAATTCGGTAACAAATTATCAGTGTTTGGCTGGTTTGGAATATGGATTATTAGACTGTGGTTTTGGTAATAAGTCAGCTTAGCGATCAATATTAGCTGTACAGTACGGTGTTAAACAGCGGTTCCCTAATCGTGGTCTGCGGAACCCTAGGTTTTCGTGGAAGGATCACAGGGGTTCCCAGTTCCGTCCGACAGTTCAATAAAGCGTTGTCAGACATGAAGTCTAATTTTAGTGCAATTATAAATAAATATGTAAAAAAAAAGTAATTCATCACATTAAATAGATATACATATTTCAAAATACAATAAATATTATTATAAGTATTAATATTTTTCATTTATGATTTGTTCTTTCAAGTCAAACAAGAAAATATTCTAACTAAAACACAATCAGTTTAGCAAACCGTTAAAAAAATTAAAATCTATTAGGGTTCCGTGGCCAATATTCATTAGGAACCGCTGGTGTAATGTATGTATCAAGTTCGTGTAACCTATCAGTGTCTGTCGAGCGGCGGCGGCAGCGGCAGCGCGGGCAGCGGCTCGCGCCAGTACACGCTCTGCGAGAACTCGGCGCTGGGCTCGCACTGCGCCGGCGGGAACACCTGGTCCACCAGCACCGACATGTGCGAGTACCTGCGCAATCGACATACGGGTGTTCATTTCATAATAATAAATAAATATGTTGGGACATTAACACACAGCACCATCTAGTTCCATGGTAAGCTAAGAGGCTTGTGTTACGGATACCAGATAGTCAATACACTACACATATCGCACATCTAGATAAAGAGTAGCACAACTCCAAATAATCCAAATTCGAGTTTTTACTATTAAAGGAATCTGCGTTAAAATCTACATAAACTCCATAAAATTTTATCATGATTACTAATTTAACACGAAAAAATAAAACTGTTTTTGGAATTGTTGGTGTTTAATATGTACTTGGTTACTTGGTGTTCCAAATAAATATCTTCCAAGTGTTTGATATTGAGTTGGTTACAAATGATACTGCTATTTGATGACAAGAATCTTAAAAAATATCTTTGTAAAATTATATACAAGAACACATATTATATTATTTTAATATATTAAATAGAAAAACAGTAAAACGTTTTTTCCTATTCCTGAAAAAAAGAGATATTTTGAGTTGTGCTACTCTTTATCTAGGTGCGCGATATATAACTTTAAATACATACATATTATAAATATAAACACCCATGACTGGAGTACAAACATTCGTGCTCATCACACAAATGAATGCCCTCAGCGGGACTCGAACTCGCGATCGCTGGCACAGCAAGTAGGGTCTCTACAAACTAAGCCAAACGCGTCGTCATTACATAACCGACCACTATTATTACATCGTATTAGAAATGATTAGGGAATGATATTTAATGTAAGATTATGTATTTCGAAACATATTACTTTTTTTGTATATTTATCATATAAAATTTTGTTGGAAAAATCGTATTATTTCTATTTATTGACAATTTAAAAAGTACTTCATTTAGATGATCGCGTGTACCAATAAAAAGCACTAGCAAATAAAAGTAAAAAGATATATGGAAGAAAATATTCAAAAAGAAACACACATAACTCTCTTTTGGGATTCGCCGCAGTCGGGTAAAAAAGAAGAGAATTGAGGTATCGATACGGAGATATTATATGACCAACTAACTTATTTTATAATATATAACCCAGCAACACAATCATGGCCAACACCAATGTTAAACCACACCTGTTATAATAATATTTGGGCAATGAATTCACAGCACATCAGATTATACTTTCCATATATACTTTACACATACTATTTTGTACATATTACTGAGTATTTTGTATATCATTTCTTTTAAATTGTATCACTTATGTTAGCATTCGTAAATATTTCATAAATATTTCATAGATATAATCCGATATCAAAAACTAATGTCATTTATCCAAATATATAAAAAACCAATCTTTAAAACCAAGTGATTCACACACAGTTATTCTATAACAACACAGAACAGAATATGACATGTCGATGATTATGTTATTTGTAAGTATTATTAGATTCGTGATGTTATCAAGAAATAGGGTTGCCAAATCTTAAAATTTAATGGTCTTTATTATAAAGAATGGTTAAATATGCATTACACCTGTTATGCTCGAAGGTAATTTTCAAATGTAAAATTAAGAAGAATGGAGAAAAATTAAAATTGTGTCAGTAAGAGTCAGTATAGAAAGCGTCCTTGTGACAGCCCTACATAATGTACTGAGATGATGCGCGTGGAGAGCGAGACGAGCCTCATGCCGGGGCTTACCGTAGTGCGGAAATCCATTAAACACACTACACTACACCTACAGTTCGCGCTAGCTAACGATTTTATTCATTGGCGGGAACAAATCATCGACCATGTCACTTTGCACGTGGTAACTGAAAGAAAAATTTAGCACTTAGTATTTTGTTCAGAATAACTATTCACAAATTCTTAATTTATATCAAATTAATCCAATACCGTTTCCTAATATTTATTATTGAATAAATGAAGTACAATAGTGAATAGTTTCTCATGTGTTAAGACGACAAAGTATGTTGTCCGTGCCGATGTGCCATCCACCATTATAGAATATATACATTTTACACAATTGGTTAATTGACATATAAATAAAGTCGTGAGCATTGATGAGTGATATAATGGTTAATAATCTTCTCGGATTTATTCGTGGATTTATTATGATTTTTGGTTCCCGACATTTCGAATGCTTTACAGCAATCATGGTCACGTTTTAACAAAAAATAAAAATAAATCCGCGAAAACATTCGAAAACATAGTTTTATTTAAAAAGTCAAATATTCGCGTAAAACTAAGAAAGTATTATGTTAATAACCGATATACCTAATTATAATAATTAATAATATAAAATATATTGTTTTTTAGATTAATTGATTAAGCAAAAATTTATTAACGTAATAAAAATAAAAAAAGCCATATCTATACCACTTAATAAATCACAATATCGGTATTATCATAATCGATTAATCGATCGATTTAACTCGTATCAATCATCACGACTCAAGACGTCACGCTACAAGGATGTGTGTACGAGTGGTACGAGTAGGTGATATATATAATGTTTAGTGCATTATACTTATAAATGGACTACTACTATTTAATAGTAGCCCATTCATTGGTAATATTTATGTATACTTGTAAAACCAAATAAAGTGGGTTCGAAATTCAAACCCTGCAAACGACGAACGTCTAAAATTTTCATGTGCCAATTATCTAACATTATCCCTATTTGTAATACGCAAAAGGAAAAGCTAACTAATTTTCGAAAAGCGTGTCAACTGTCAAGTCCGTCATCCCGCTTTTGGTCAGCGTAGTGGACTATGGTCTATATACCTTTCGCACTGTAAGGAGCGACATCGTATCGTATTGAATTATTATTATTATATAATAAGAATACTCACGTCGATTGGAATGTCTGGGTCAATTCGTGCTTGAGTTCACCCTTGTAGTTGATCGTGAATATTCTCACAATAGGAATGCCGACAGCTTGGTACGCGCACACGTCCTGAAAATATATAAGTTACAAAACTATTTTTTATTCAAAATAAAATAAATAGAGATTTCTAAAAATGTAACTATGAATGCTGCTTTTAATATTTCAATAAACTTTTTATTTACATAAAAGATATATATTTACTACATAACACTTATTGTATTAGTTTATAGAATTTTAAAAAAGTATAGATAATTATTATAGATGTAACAATATTATATAAATAATATTTAAACATTTCACATTCTCCATGTTTTTCCAGTTTATACTTGAGTCATTAAAATTTCATCAAAACAAAATTAAAACGTAATTTATCTGGGCGGGAAATGACCAATCACTTTTTTATTCTTTTCTGCGAATCTAAAAGATAAAAGATTTTTAGAAATCTAACAATACCTAATAATTTTTATTTTTTTATTTTACAATGTTATGTTGTTGCGATTTAAAATACTGACTATTACGCTACGTGACATTTTATTTAGCGAGTGATTGATGACTTACAATAAATATAAAATAGAAATTTATAGATTATAGTATAATGATGGTACCAACTCGAATTCAAGTTCCAAGGTTAATTAGCGATAAAATAAATATGTAGTTTTGAAATTCTGCAAAGAAATAGCGAGGCACGTTTAAGGTATACAACGATTTGTTCTTATTTTCGGCATAATAATTTATATTTTATTCAGATTTGTATTTCAATTGATATACATTTTGCATTCATATAAATATTCTAACATTAGTAGGAATTATATACCAGATTAGCGAGGTATGTTTTAACGGTTAGTATGGAATAGATGATTATATATTACTAGCGGACCCGACAGACGTTGTCCTGTCTACACGTCTTTAATTTGAAAATTTCAAACTTTTTTTAATAATTTTTTTGATGAAAATTATTATTCAAATTGTGAATCTAAACCATTCCCAGATCCCCTTGAACACACACAAAAAAATTCATCAAAATCGGTCCAGTCGTTTGAGAGAAGTTCAGTGACATACACACTCACAGAAGAATTATATATATAAAGATAGGATATATATAGCCTTCCTCAATAAACGGGCTCTCGAATGCATAGACTTTTTCAAATCGGATTAGTAGTTCCTGAGATTAGCGCGTACAAACAAACAAACTCTGACTCTTTATAATATTAGTATAGATTAAGACAAGTATAAATTATATAGGTAGTTACCGCACTCTACATATTATATTACGTTACATCAACATACCTCGCTTTGTTTTTGCAAAAAATTTCAAATGATTAATAATTTGCAAATTAACCTTGGAATGTAAATTTTATTTATACCGTATAAATACTATATAAAATAAATGTATGTTCTGAAATTAAAATTGTTTTTTTAACATAGTAATATTATTACTTTTAATAGGGAAGTATTAAAACCACCTGCAATGTGTACTCAGACTCATGTTTAATTCACAACCACACAATGTGATCTTCCCTCTTGTATATAGAAACATGTAGGAAGAAGATTTTAAATTACACAAATGGATTTGTTCAATTCAATTGTTAATATATATTATATATTACTTGTATTGTATATATATATATATATATATATAATGGTCCTGATAGGGCCACTATCCCTTTAAAAAAATTGTTTCTACTTTTTGCTATAGGACTACAAACAAAAATTTAATTTCTTATAATATAAGTATTTTCTTATGGTCAGCTTGAAACAACTTATGTTAAAATAAATTTATATTATAAAGCAAATTACAAAAAAATACCAAGGAAAATACAATAAATATGTATAATACTTTCTTAGATTTACGCGAATATTTGACATATAAAAAAACTATCTTTTTGGATTTTTGCAATTATTACCTATCTATCTCTGCCGATATCATGATTGCTGTAAATAATTCGACAGTCGACATGTCCACGGGAACCAAAAGTCTAAATAAATCCGCGAAAATTTCCGAAAGGATAGTTTTATTTAAAACATATCTATACTATAATATTATAAACAGGCAGAGTTTGTTTGTTTGTTTGTTTGTTTGTTTGTTTGTTTGTTGGAGCACGCTAATCTCAGGAACTATTAATCCGATTTGAAAAATTCTTTTTGCATTAGATAGCCCGTTTATTGAGGAAGGCTATAGACATATCCCGGAAAAATGTACGGTCCCGTGGGATAGTTTTTTTTTGTTTAGGAACGAACCCGTACCAAAGCGAGGGTGAGTCGCTAGTATAAAATAAAAATGTAGACTTACATTAACTCTATTGCCATATCCAGCGTAGAAGGGATTAGAACCAGCCGGGAACAGAGCCTTGATGTCCGCTAGACATTGTATCTTGAACTCCTCCGGCTTCTTTTCGATGACCTCCCGGTGGAAGGCGCGCAGCAGCGACGTGGGGTTCAGCAGCAGTGGTCCGTCCGGCAAGTACAGCTCACCTTGCCGGATAGACCTTAGATATTCACGTGTTACCTGGAAAATGCTTGGTTTTAGTGTTTTTCAATCGACTTCTAAAAATAAGGAGCTATACAGATAGATAAAGGTGATTTTTATTACTGTGTATATAATGCGATATTTTCGAGAATTATAATACGATTTTTTTTTAATCTAACCTCAAAAAATCAAACCTAATAAAGGTCATACAAATTTAAATTTTTAAATCAGTGTACTTCTTTTGTTAATCAAATAATAGTATAATTTTAAATAAGTTCAAGGGTGTTTATTTTTTTGTCAGGCTATTTTATTCTTTTTTTGTATACAAATAGTTTATAGGCTTAAGAACTAAGAAGTGTGACATAATTTATTAATTAACTACATTTAAACGCAAAAACTTATTAAGGTCACTAGTTTTTAACATTTTCTATATATTCGTAAACAATTTGCGTAACTATTAACCACAGTGTTATCGTAATGTGGTACTTTCGTCAAAACAAATCATAAACGTACGAGAACCAAATGATAACATTTCCTAAGTTATTAAAGCGACCTCATATTATACTTACATACATATAAATATTATAATAAATATGGTACGATATTGTTTATAATTACATATATCTAGTTGTACGCAAAAGACGTCATGATTTACATACGTAATTCAATTATACTAAAAATCTTAAACAAAAAACTTTAAATTTAGTACAATGTAGTTTTATATAATTGTTTTAAAACATAAATTATATCGTCATAATGTTCAGGTTTTAAACTTAATTAGCTTAATATAAAAATCTTAGACATTGCATTACAAAAGAATTCCTTCTTGGGAGTAAGTAACCTTGTAACCTTCTTAGGTGTTTAAGAAAAATCCCTTTATATATGCAGTTATCAGACTACTATTATAAATGCGAAAGTTTGTATGTGTATGTGTGTGTGTCTGACTTCTTCACACGAAGAAGAGACGGCTGGACGGATTTTGATGAAATTTAAGTAACACATGGGCTACCAGGGAAGTCTGCGAGTGAAGTCGCGTGTTGTAATATAGTTTCATACTAACCCTCGCCTGTCCGATGGCTCTGGCAGACAGATAGAGCAGTTGGTATCCATTGTTCTTGATCTTGGTAAACAACTGCGCCACGCCCGACTGCGCCCAGTCTTTGCCCACCAGTGGGAATATGTGTCCCAGCACGTCCGATCTGATTAATTGTCAATTGTTAAATTCTTGGTTATATAAAGTATTACTAATATTATAAAGAGGAAAGATTTTTTTGTTTGTTTATACCGAAAAAGCTTCGAAACTAATGGACCGGTTTAGATGGAATTTGGTAAGAAGATAGTTTGAGAAGGACATGTGATTTATTCCGGTTTTTTATTCCGATTTTTTATCCCGGAAATCATTCCTTAAGTGGGTGAAAATAAAAAGTAATAAAAAATAACCTATATATGTATTATATAATTATATTATCCATAATATTGAATATTGGTATATCTTAAATAAAAGTTTACACAATATATTCACACACTGTGAGCAGATTTTATGAAATGTTTTGTGATAAACGTTTATTATTTCCTTGCTGACTTCATATAAATTTCAAGAAAAAAGAAACATTTTTAAGAATGAAATAAAGTAATTTTGGAGTCCGCACCATTTTTTGTTAAAACGTAATTATTTACGGACGGACTCCGTCGGATGAAAACATAAAAATTTGGAAGAAAAATGATAATTTCCTCAATTCATTATCCGTTTTCCTGCTTCTATGAATTTGTTTGTAAGACTCAGATTGTTTGCTCAACATCACTTTTTATTCAGAACGGGATGATTTAATATAAAAATTCAGATCACCATAGACATACCAGTTAAATGAATGGCGTAAATAAAGTTGAAGTGTGTCTTTGTAATGTTAAAATAACGGTAATTATGATCAAAAAAAAAATCTTATGCCTGTCTGTACCGGCTAATCTCCGAAACGGCTGGACCGATTTTGACGGGACTTTCACTGGCAGATAGCTGATGCTATAAGGAGTAATTAAGGTACTTGAATTTAAGAAAAAACGTTATGGTTTCGCGCAAAATAATTAAAACCCATGAAAATGCGAACATGGGTAAGTCGCTAGTATGTAATAATAACAATAGTAATGGGCAAAAACAACAATAATGATAAATTTCTTTATTCAGACACGAATAAATAAACAAACACAAATACTGAAAAAACTGTTCATAATAGTAGGTATGTATTAAATTTGGATTGTGTTTATTGAGACTTTTTTACTTTTCATTCTTATAACTTAAGCTACCGCTCAGCTTAATGAGTAATTGTTATTATTTAAAATCAATTTTACTTTTGGTATATGTAGAGGGTAATCTCAGAAACTATTGAACTGATTCTGAAGATTCTTTTATATGAAGATGTACAATTTATAACTAATATAAGCAGTTATTTTTCGACATACTTTTTCGATATATCCGAGCGGACGAAATATAGTAGGTATACAACGTATATGCTTTGTCAAAGACAAATTAAATTCTTTATTTCATGCTGAGAAATGCTTGTGTGATAAAAAAATGTTAATTTAATTTGAATCATAATAATATTTTGTGTAAACGGAAAATTTATGACATTAAGACTAATTGTTTGTGTAAATATATATATATTACGTATTTTATTATACGTTACGTTGGCTTCTTCGACTAAAGTAAAGAATACCTAAATTATATTCTTATTTTGTAACATACAAAATTAAGGAAATTTATAATAATATTATAAAGAGGCAGTTTGTTTGTTTTTTTGTTTGAACGCGCTAATCTGAGGAACTACTAATCCGGTTTGAAAAATTCTTTTTGCATTACATAGCCCATTTATAGAGGAAGCCTATAGCCTATATATCATTCCCAAAAATTTTACGGTTCTCGTGGGATAGATTTGGTTTTGCCTAGGGACGAATCCGAGCGAAGCGAGAGTGAGTCGCTTATATTTAATATTAGTATAGATGATGAACATACTTGGTGATGGTGCCGTCAATGTCGGATATGACGACCTTGTCGTCGTAGCGCCAGCGGAACACGTTGCACTTGCAGCGCGTGGTGCCCTGGTACGCCGTGGTCACGCTGAACACCATCTCGTTCATGCCCTCGCGCAGGTTCAGCTCTTTCTGTATAACCAACGACATGGTAAATTCATTACTAGCTTTCATTGCCGCTAATTTACTTCGCTATAATAGATCGAAGTGTGATTTAAGATAGACTCTAGCCGTCTTCACCACCTTCTTTATCTTCACCACCTTCTTTATCTTCACCATCAGTGCACGGAATTTGATGTTTTTTTTTAATAAGTAGTCTATCCCTTATGGACGTTCTCTTAAAAATATACTCCTAAGAGTCGAATAATTATGACTTTTAGTGATCGATTTTAAAGTGATTTTGAACTCTGTGTATCATGTATGCTTTTTATAAATATACTAGCGACTCACTCTCGCTTCGCTCGGGTTCGTCCCTAGTTACGTTTTAAATTAAAATTGATATAGTATGTTATCCCTAAGAGATAGACATATGCCATCGCGGACTTTTCTGTAGACCTATATAAGATACACAATTCCACCATACAGTATATTGTTATATCTCAAAGGGTTTAGGCAGCGTTTTCGTTGGAAGCTCCCAGACGTCTTATTTTTTCCGACACCTCCAACAAATATCGTTATATTTTATCCAATGTATGCAAAAACTTAACAAATTATATACTAAAACCTTCCTCTTGAATCACTCTATCTATTAAAAAAAACGTATCAAAATCCGTTGCGTAGTTTTAAAGATTTAAGCATGCATAGGGATATAGGGACAGAGAAAGCGACTTTGTTTTATACTATGTACTGATTTATTACAAGTTATTGACTTACCTTAGATTAATTTTGTACATTTTGTATGACTACAAATTCCCATAAATTTGGACATTATATTTATTTTATTATTATATAACAGAAAAATCCAGCAATATCTCCATTCCATCAATAAAACAAGTACCAAATCGTTAATCAATATATCGACTTTACTTATAAACATACACGTAGAACATAAAAACAAAATGAAGTACAACTTACAATTTGTTCGGAGGACAGCCGCAACGTCTTGCGGAAGGAGAAATGCCGGCGCCCCTGTCCCTGGTCCTCGTGCTCGGATTCCGACGAGCTGTTGTCGTGGCGGCTGCTTGATATATCAGCTACGAATAACATTTTACAATTATTAATTATATTGATTGTTGTTGTGTCCTATCTTAAGCACTGCTACGTTTACGGTTCCACTAATACTTTCAAACAAGATTTGTCTTTAAGAGATTTCTCATAACTACAAGACCATCCTTGGGTGCCTTTTAGTTAACGTTTTTGAAGTTATACTTCTTTTGGCACGTTTGGAAAAAAATATGAGAGTTAAATTTTTACGATGCGCGCGCACACTGACAGCCAAAAAATCACATGATGAAGTTAGCTGCATGGCTTTTACAAACAGAGAGTGAAAATAGCTACACATAAAATATTTTACTAATTTTGTTCTATAACTCCAAAGAAGAATAACTTCTAACGCGCGAACATAAGTACATACACTTTTTCATTTTTTGTACTCTTCTTTTGTGTGTGCAATAAAGTATTTTGAAATTTATTATTATAAATGCGAAAATTTGCTAAACCCGATTTAAGTAGGGTAAGTCATTAGTTCGATATATTTGTTAACTAGCAATTTACTCTCGCTTCGCGTGTTGATTCAGGTCGTAGTACATATATCTGTGTATCAAAAAATCATCAAAATCCTTATTATCGTCGAGACGTTTCAATGGAAAGGAGTAACATAAACATGTGTGTGTGTAACACATATGTACACATACAAACTTTCGCATTTATAATAATAGTTGTACGATGTTGGTTAGAATTGAAAGTTAATTTTACTTTAGTTTTAGGTATAAACAGTATCTATTAAGTGTTTCCCGTTTTATTTTTTTAAATTTCCGCGATTAATACATACGTATATAAGTACTTGGTGTAAAAACATATCTACCGGTAATTAGGAATAATTAAAACAATTGAAAACTAAGTATAAAAATGCACTAAAGTTTAAAATTATTAAATTGCGTCATTTAAGTTTTACTATGAGTTTTATTGATGAATTAAGATAAATATTCTCAGAGTCTATAGTCCAATATAACAAAAAAATGAGGCATAATGTTCGAAGTTATTCAAGCGACTATGAAAAGTTTTAAAACAACCTATGTATTTTGTCAAATATCAGATATTTATTTTTATTTTTTATATTTTGTTTTATTCCCTCCACGACCGCGGACACGCCGGCGTGTCAGTTAACAATAGATTTCTTAAAATTTTAATTAATTTCTTAGAAATTTACCTGGAGGTGTTATGTCTGTCTTATTATTGTTGCATGCAGTATCAGATTTACTCTAATTGAATTGTTATAATAATGTCTGCTATCGAACAATACATGTATGGAAGTCCAGTCTAGACATAACGCAATAGCAAAAAATGTTGCAAAAATATTAAAACCTTTTTATCTAATCTAACTATAATGTAAAAAGTGAGTGTTCAGTGTAGTAAGTGGAAAACATACTGTATAACCCATTCACTATATTTTATTAAGCACATATGTATGTATGTACTCGTAAGTGTATAAGTATAACTTACGAGTAGGCAATATTGGCGTGGATTCCCTCGGTTCCACTTCATCTTCAGGTTTGACAGCTTCTTCAACAACTTTCACTTCTTTGGGTTTCTCAATATTTTCCCCTGCCCAATGGTCTACTTGGTCTTGGTCTTGGTCATCCGCAGAGTCAGATTTAACTATAGGTTTCACAGTATCAGCGTGTAAAGTTGAGTCTTTCAATTCTTCATCTTTGGATTGTGATTCTGACCTATTTAAAGAAAGTGTTTTATTTATAAATGTTAGTGTTTTACGATAATATTTAATTATATATAGTATAATAATACTAATTTATAGCCTATTAGCAGCTCACCCTTGCTTCGCTCGTGTTCGCTCCTAGCGATAAACAAAAACAAATCTATCCAACGGGAACTGTGCATTTTCTGGGATAAAAAGTAACCTATGTGCTATTCCAGACTATAATCTATATCTGTGCCAAATTTCATCCAGATCCATCCATCCAAACTTTCGCATTTATATAGTAGTAAGACTATTTGAGGGACGATCTTTAAAAGCAGAGTAATTACACCTAAATAAACTGGGCAGAGCCGCGGGCAAACGTAAGTTTTACATAAGAAAGAAGATATTCTACATGATATTTGTGAAGTAAATTGTGCACAACTAGAACGCCTAAAAGCCATTTACATAAAAAGTTAAAGTGAATTATTTAATTGTATTTTTTTCAAATACATAATATGAATCATAAAATTTTTCCATTATGAACAAAGGTTGAATGAACTAACGAAAATCTTTTTAAATAAAAGTTAGAAGTTTTCTATTTCAAAGATGAGACATCCAAATTGGGAAATTGTCTCCGTTCCAATATTACGGGTATGAAAATTTGGACCGAGTTCCTTCCTATCGTATAAAGACAGGTGTTGGCACGTATCCTAATGAGTGACGTGGCAAGTGACAAGTCATCTTGGATATTTCCATCTCTTCGGAATATCTACCTAATGTTAGTTATATTTATACCAGATTTATCGAGGGTTTCATTCATACAGAATTGTTACTATGAGAATAAAACTGGGCGTCATGAATAAGGAAAATGACTATCTCAAGAAATTCCTACAATGACACACATGACAGTAAAAACTATTTGTACAAATAGATATAAAAACATATTTGTTGTTTGAATACTATTTCCTACGTGATTACGTGACATATCTATACAAATGAGTTTAAAAAGTATTTATAATATCCCTATCTCATTATCATTTAGGTATTTAATATTTATTGAAAAGAGATGGGCGATAAAGTTCAATAGTGTTATATAACCGTATAAGTAGCAAATATAGATACGATTTGAACGAATTAAATGTAATGTATAAAATGGCAAAGTAAATGATGGCAAAAAAGTTAAGACTACGCAAAACAAGTGGTATTATTCACGACTATAAGCTAAGTTTTTCATTTGAAACGTTCAGGAAAACTATAATCTATACATATAATAAAATTGTAACTAAGACGAATCTGTACATTAGATATTTTTTGGAAAATCTTATTGAAATAAACATTATTATCGATATAGAGGCAGAATCTATAGTTTTTAGATTTTTTGTCTGTCTGTTACCGCATCACAGAAAAACCACTGGAGGGATTTTGATGAAATTTGGTATGGTGATAGCTGGTTATCCAGGTCAACATATAGAATACTTTTTACCGCGGGAAAATATCTCATTTTTGAGAAAAAATACAAAAACTGCAATGTAAAAGTATACTAATATGTCAAACCTAAGAATTTGGTTTTTTGTCACCTGAATGCGGGCGGAGCCGCGGGCAATGCTAGTTTATTATATTTACAATTATTAATGTATAATCCACTGCGTAAAAATATCATTTAAATTTCACTACCTTCTTTGGTACCTCTGTTTATCACCATTATATATATATAATACATGATCATATTTAATTATAAGTTTAGTGGATAGAAACGGGTGCCAAGATGTCAACTTAGAATGTCTGATGTTTATTTGGCTATATATTGACTTGAATGGCTCTTGTAATTGTCATGTTTATAATTCTTTGGCTGTACTTAGGATCTATTTGATACGTATGTTGGACAGTGACGCATGTACTAAACTATGTGTTTTTGAATGGAAGTTGTGAAGTGGCAATGTATAGTAATACGTATTCCCTGTGCGAAACTACGCTAAAGTAACTTTGCTTTAATAAATATCTATAAAAAAAAATTATTAATATGAATGATAAGTTATCTTGGTTATCGTAAAGAAATTGTCACAATTATAAACAAAAAAAAAAACATCTTTATCGGTAAAAAAGTTTAGTTGGTAATTATTTTGTTGAAGATATCTTTAAAAAGTAAGTTCATTTTTGTCCAATCTATTAGAAAAAAAAATCTTATATTATTGTTCTTTAACTAAATAACACTTTTTCGACAACAGAATAATCTCTTAATATTATTTTTAGATACTAACACTAATTAATTTGAACATTATTTAGTATATAATACTTTCTTAGATTTACGCGAATATTTGACATTTTAAATAAAACTACGAGTATTTTTTCGGTTTTTTTCGCAAAATTATTTAGAATTTTTGTTCCCGACGTTTCGAATGCTTTAAAGCAATCATGGCCACGCGTGAGACTCTCCCATTACATTATTTGGTAAATAGAAAGCAAAAGAAGTGGGCTAATTGTTCATTTTAGATTACATGAACGTATACTATAATGAATTAGTGCAGCAATTAGCGTATTTTTTTGTTTTCATTTTTCATTATTATCACATATAATTTATATCTAAGTCCATTGAAAAATTTGTGTACAGACAACATCTCCATCAATAAATATAACTAACATGTGCTATTATCAAATAGTAAAAACTAGTATAGAATTAATAATAAAAAGGAAATTTGATAATAAAAATAATTAAAAACCCGCTTACAAAAATCTTCGCTACGTGATTTAACGCACATACCGAAAACTAAAACGTCATATATACCGAGACCTTTCGAATGATACTTTATAAAACTCCACTCACAAATTTTCGAGAAATTAATTCCTAGGCCTAGATTCAATCTTACATACATCTGAAAAACAATTTTCTTTTTGACTCTTAGGCCTGTAATATAAATCGCAGGCAGCTCAAATTACCGATAAGAGATACACCTCTTGTCACTGTCATACTTTGTACCGCAAATGTTATTTTAAACACGTAGCATTAGTTAATCTATAATTGTTATAACGGCCTTCAATCGCATTACGCATAACAAAAGTTTCATTTTCATAAATATAAAAGAATTCCAAGTCACATACACAATTTTATTATCATCATTTTTCTATCATCATGACAACAACAAAAAATATTTTAAGAAAGACTTAATACATAGATATGGTAATATTTTGCTAGGTAATATATTTATATTACTGTATAAATACTAGCGAACATTTTGGCTTTTTTTTATTCCGAATCATAAAAAGGCCACCCTTATCACCTATCACTATTCTTAGACCTACTGAATATACACACAAAAATCCATAAGAATCGGTGAAGCTGTTTCGGAGGAGTTTTGTTACAAACACTGTGACACGAAAATTTTATATATTAGATATTCCCTAGTAATATAAAGTATAAGTATTTAGTTATAATTACCCCTTTTCAGTGTTAGAACGACGGAACGGCCAGAACGCGTAGCGCGAGTACGAGCGCGTCTTAGCCTCGTCCGTCCCGCTCGCTCGCTCCTCCTTGTCACCCTTCTCCAGCTCTTCTAATACACGCTATATTAACAAATAAATTACGTATTAAGCGTGAAAATAGCTTTATAATGAAAAATACTCTCTCTTACTCATCAAAATACTCTTAAAATAGTTCTTAACATTGATAAATTGAAATTTTAAATTTTCAAAAAAATAATAATTAATTAAGCCGTCACAAAGATTATTATTTATAAACAAAGAATATGTAATCAAATACGACAACAATTTGGTATACAAAATAAAATATCGAAGCTATACTAACACTAGGCAGCGGACGACGGTAGGCGAGGAGGGACAGCAACAGAGGGGCGGCGCTGCGCCACGGCAGGACCCGTGACCCAAGCCGCACCTCCAGCCTCGCACCTCCAGCACCCCCAACACCCCCAACACCGCCAGCACCCCCAACACCTCCAATACCTCCCACCATGGAGATCCGCTCACAGAACTCTGCATAACTGAGCGCGCGTGACACCGCACCCTCGCGCTCCATAACCGTCACCTGCCCTCTGATTAAAAAAAATAGGGATTGGGATATATTTATAACTAGACGCCGCGCTGTCACGTAGTGGGAGAGACAAACAACGCCTGTCTATTTCTATCTCTTTTACTACTAACAATAAGCTGAAGTTTTGCATTTGGGCTATCCCTCTAGATCTAGAGTTACGAAAGAGACAAGCGTAACTGACCAGGAGACCAGCGATACAGTAGTATTAGATATATACATAGGTATGTGGATTACTATTGAAGGCTGCGTTGCAGTAGTGTTAATAAAAAAATACAGTCGAATTGAGAACCTCCTCCTTTTTGAAGTCGGTTGAAAACTAATTCTTTGTATCAGTCGACGCTACTCCATGAGTTTTGTAATTAGTACTACAGTCTAGATGGTGAGGTGCACTCGACAGTTACATATAATTTTATATGACAATAAAACAAAGGCGTTCGCTATAAAAAAAAGGTTTTTGAGAAATGCTATCATTTCCGACAAATTCAAAAGAGTCTAATGTATGAATTAGTATACTATACTAGTATGTACGTACTTTTGTTGACAAAAAAAAAACAAAGCACTCACTTCGCGAGTAACTTCTCATCGTCATCTGAATCGAGCGCGGGCAGTTCAAGCGAGTGTGGCGTGGCGGGCGACGCCGGCGACGCGGGCGACTGCGGCAGCGACGGCCCGTTGCCCGACTCGTACTCCTCCTCTGTGGGACCCACGGCCATGCCGCTACTGCTTACTGTACAACCAACAATTTTCCTGCTAAGTATATCTATAATATCTCTTCAAAAAGTGGCGTCGACATGTGACGTAAAGTCAAACCTAAGAATAAAATTCAAATATATTTACATAATATATTTTTTTTAAACTAAACAAGTGCGTTTTAAATTTGACATCCGAAAAGCAATGAACGAAAGGGATTTGAAAAATGCGCACAATTTCGAATTCTGCGCTTCTTTTGATAAATGTCCTTAATTTTTGCGACGATAATTACATATGTATGTATCTTGAGTTCTTATATATTAGTGTGTCCTTCGGACTGGTTTCTTTCACGACGTCCAATTTTACTGATTGTGCGAGCTAGCCCTTCATGCTAGCCAGCATGGGGTAATGAACAATGTTCATTATTGTATAAACGTACATATATATAAATAATCTTGTTTAAAATATAAGTTCAATTATTCCCGTATCGTTTGAGTTCTTACCGCAAATAAAAACAACCGAGAGGAAGCGGTCGGAGAATGATATAAATAGTTTTCATACACTTATATGTATGTATAAGTTTGACAACTAAAATGCAGACACGCATGCAGACAAATAAAAATTCTTCCAAATCCATAATATACTTAGTTGTTAATATTAACCTAGATTTAATTAAAAATATTGTAATAGAAAAATTAAAGTACCAAAAAATACATATACATTTACTGATATAAATATACCTACATATATCACTAAAAATTATATAGTAAAAAAATTACATACAATTTGAATAATAACAATGTGGAATACAACGACATACCTGCGCGATATTTTTCCGCGTGATGTTTCGGGAAGTACAAATCCGGATCGACTTGACCGCGATCCAAGTCGTCCAGATAGACGCCCTCCGGCGCGGCGTCCGTCGGCTCCCGGGTCGACATGAAGCGGAACATTCCACTTAGAACACCACGACGTTCTGTTCTTTCTTCATCAGAACTTAGCGGTTCAGTCGGCGACGCGGGTTCTTTGGGTAATGCAGAGGACGCGGGTGTGTCGGGAGATTCTATCGTTTGTGAACCACGGACCGGTGGCTCCGGGAGTTCCCCCCATCGCCACGACTGCGACGACTTGTCGTCGGTCGCTGCCCGCACCAACTCTACTTCCGTGTCCGACTGCACTGGTGTCCCGTGCCGGGATCCTTTGCTATACAAATAATAAATAATTACCACATGTTAGCACAACATTCTTTGTTCAAAGTGTTGATATATTTAATATCAACTATATTATGTTCATTTACTTTGAGAATATAAATACTTGTTCTTTCAAACATCGAAGTGCGATAAACACCTTGAGAAATAACACGTTCTTATATCTTCATTGAGAGTATTTTTGTGAAATTATGTTCAATAAAATTTATAAAAGTAATAGATTTTTTTTTTAAATAAAGCATAATAAAAACAAATTGACATCGTTATGAAATAAATTGAATTCAAATAATGTACTAAATGGTGTTGCTGTCATTAGACAAATGAAGAGAAATAGCGCTATACAATAAGACGTGACACACAAACACATCATCTTTAATAACATTACACATTGCACAATGTGTTTAATAGACAATATAATACTAGGCAATTGTCATAGTCTCGATTAAAATCGTATATACTGCATGTTTAATTATGAGTCATAACCTATGCCCTTTTGTTTTATTTACAAGCACATGTCTATTCCTTTTGTATACCGTGGTATTATGTTATACGTTACACACGTGTATATAAAGAAAGTTTTAAGTTTTATTACAACGTTTTACTTGGACAAGAATACAAATGACGACACGCTTAGCTCAGTTTTTAGTAATCCTACTTGTCGTGCCAGCGGTCGCGGGTTCGAGTCCCGCGGGAAGTATTCAGTTGTGTGATGAGCACGAATGTTTGTTGTTGTTGTACCCCAATCACGGGTGTTTATATTTATAATATATACGTAGGTATTTAATGTTATATATGTGTAGTGTATCAACAATCTGGGATCCATAACACAAGCCATCGTAGCTTACCATGGAACTTTAAAAAAATTGAACTTTGAAAAATTAATAAAATTCTGCATCATAAAATACCAATATATAAAAAATAAGTCCACTTATAACATAAACTCATCATTTTCTATCATAATTTTGAAGATAACTTTACGTAGTGATCTCACCTATCTGCGCGGTAAGTAAATTGTCATGGTGGCTTATCATCAAATGTCCACAATAATATTCTATAAAGTGATAATAATCTATTTACTCCTTACTAAATTCAAAGTCCAATTAAACCAACTGAGAGAAAAAAATATATTTAATCGTTAGTGATATAATTAAACTACGTGTAGATTATCTCAAGCATACATTAATTTTATATTGTACTAAAACATAACGATTTCTTTTATAATTAACAACGTAAGCAATTACTACAAGCGAGATACAGAACTGTACATTTACAGTATTATATACTTAATTTACATATGTGAGATGAGAGCAATGTTTTATTTACGTAAAACATTCAAACGTTCTGTGCAATTTATTAGTTGTGGCCAATAAAAGTTGTCGAGAAGTTTGAGTACCGTTGTTAGTGTACAACATACAATTGCCAATACGATAAAACGAGTATGTGAATCAAGTAGATCGGAAGTTCCAGTTCTATTTGCGTGACAAGTGGAATGAACTAAATATCGAGTAGAATAAATATATAGTAAGCGAGCGTTTATATATGAATAATATATGTTTACGAGTGTCTGGAGGCGGCGTGCACCTCGAACGTTGTGTCCGACAACGCCAGCGGGATGCGATTCTCACCGTTCAGCTTCATGTTGGACATCTCTTCGCTGTAAGGGCAATGCCTTTATCAAATACTAATTCTAATTTTTACACCTTCTAAGCACTACACGGAGTTCCCGATACATTATTTTTAATTAACAATACATTTATACCAATTAAACCTAATTGAAATATTAATTTATATTAAATCCGCTTTGGTATTTGATTGTAATAAAACGCGGGATCGATTAATAATATAATACATAACCCATTTTTAACCTAAAAATGAATGAATATGAGCCGTTAGCGGGGATACTGTCGCTCTAATATTTTACTTTCTGCTCATTTGCCCTCACAAAATATCAACTAATATAAAAATGTCATAATGAAAATGAGATGGAATGTAATTTAATTTTTTTCTTACCTAAGAGAGCCAGTCACGATTTCCGTGTCACTGAAGAAATTAATATCGCTGGTGTTGTTAATGGCTGCCGGCTGGGAAGCGCGCGGCTCGGAACTGGTGAGATCAGATTGACTTGAAACCGAACTAGTCGAAGACTTTCTTTGGTGTTTCTTCTTAGAGCTTGCTTTCCTCATCTTCTTCTTCTTTTTACCGTTGCCATTCGGCTTTACTTCATCTTGGCTCGGCGCCGCTTCGATTGGTCGAAAATCATTATGTTCGCTTATTTTCTGCACTGTTTGATTGGCTTCACTTCCGGCGATTCCAAGTTGGGTTGCCGCAAACGTTTTTGGCTTAGAATCGGTCCAGTCCTCTCCATCGTTTAGGCCGTCCATTTCAAACAGTGCCTCGTTTTCATGATCGTCGATAACGTTCTTCTCATCTTTTGCACTATTTTTTATCAGTTTACTTAGATCGGGTTTTTGCATCGTCTTCCCATCAGCTGTGTACCTGCATGATACCTAATTGTTAGTTTCCACAACAATTCTCAACTAGACAGCTAACTAAGTAAGGTTTGTTAACAATAAAATAATGCGCACTGTCGTTATTGGCAATGCATATTACTTATTTATGTTGCATTATGTTACAGTTAGGTACGTACTTAATTTGCGCCTTGTGTTGTTGTAACTGTTATTTTTTACTTTCTAAGTATTTTTATTGGTATATAGAACAACTGCAATAATTACAATGACTAATATTTTAACATAAATTCATTAAAATATATTCATTGCAAAGTAAATGCAAAGTATAAGATACCGTGTATTACGTGACTATTCTAAAAAAGACTCATGTGAAAGTAAAAACGACCTGTTCACATCTAAGATTAATAATGTTATACTGTATTATATACTACACATTTCAAGAAACAAACGTATTAAGTTATAAAAGTGCTCAATCTGAAGGAAATCACGCTTAAATAGTGGTCGAGTTTCCTGTTAGTTAATGTACCTACAGATTTTAATGCTAGAATACCAAGTAGGTACTAACTAATTGTGAAGGATAATACTGCAATATCTTAGACTTCTAGTTCCTTGATTAAAAAAGAAGTTGTCAAATACAGATTATTATAGTAATACAATCTAATCACAGGTTATTCTAGTTTTATAGGAGCAATCTATGTGCTTGCAAAATTTTATCGAAATCTGTTTAGTGGCAGCCAGCGGCTTTAGAGTGTAAAGATGACAGCCAGATTTACTTTCACATTTATAATATTAGTATGGATCGTATGGATTATAACATGTGAGTAGCTAAGAAGAGATGTTTATATACCTCCTTTTGGTATAGTCGGATGCTTGTCCATGGTCGGGTTCAACAGCGGATAAGGAGTTTCGACGACGAGGTTCATACAGCTCTTCAAACCGTGACGCGGGTATGGGTGATGTGGCAAGGTGCGCCGAGCATTCCGCTTCGTCCTCACCAACTTCTTCCACGAAGAAAGCTTCTCCGGATTCACCCAATTTCATATGAATCTTTAGTGGTTCTCCGTTTAACTCCAAATCAACCTAGCAATTTTTAAAAGATTTTATTGTAAACTAGCTACTTGTCCTCGGTTCGCTCAAATATGTCCCTACGTTGCGTTACAGTAGCTTTTGTGTTAATCCAGGTCATAGTTTATCTGTTTACAAAATTTCATCTATATCTGTCCAGGCGTTTCAGTTTGAACAGTAAATAACATACACACACACGCACAAGATTTCTTATATACATTGTACAATAAGTAGTAATGTGACTCGAAAACAATCATTTTCGATCATTCTAAAGGTTTCTAAGTTGTTAGAGTAGAATTTGGTGTTATCATTGCTCTTTTTATTTACATTTAGATAATAATAAGCTTAACAATTTCTGTAAAATTATTATTATGATGTTGAATTGTAATAAATATATGTGAAACTGTTGTATTTTATATATCTAATGTGACATAAGGTCAAATTCTTTTCTTTAACTAGTATGAATTCTGTATAGAATTAATCTTAAATATGTAGGTATATATATTTGTATACTCAACGAATACTGCTGAGTTAGTTTTTTTATTACATTACATATTATATTTGAACTATGCATTTTTCGTTTTATACATTTTACACAAGCTACATTTCATTGCAGTATAATTACATACTAAGAGTTCGCAGAACTTCTGACGCGCTAAGTACTTACACCAACGTATAGTAATTCGCTTCACTGAAAGTGTAATGATGAGTTTTTTTCCACATGAAGTTGATTGTTTGTACGTTTTATTTCCCGGTTGCCGTTGGCTCAAAAATGTACATTCATTTTAGAATATAACTTTTTTGAAACCAAATAGAATTCTAACAATATGTCACCTAGGTATTTTAATTTGATCTTACTTGTTATCTATACATATTATAATAAAATTCTAAGTAAGTCAAATCTGTACATTAAATATTTTTTGGGAAATCTAATTGAAATAGACATTATTATCGATACAGAGTCCGAATTTATAGTTTTTAGAATTTTTGTCTGTCTGTCTGTCTGTCTTTGTGTCTGTCTGTCTGTTACCGCATCACGAGAAAACCACTGGACAGATTTTGATGAAATTTAGTATGATGATAGCTGGTTGTCCGGGTCAACATATAGGCTACTTTTTACAGCGGGAAAATATCTCATTTCTCAGAAAAAATACAGAAACACAAAAACTGCATTGTAAGAGTATAATAATATGTAAAACCTAAGAATTAGGTTTTTGGTCATCTGAATGCAAGCGGAGCCGCGGGCAATGCTAGTGTAATATATATTTGAATTTAAATAACAAAATATATACCTACCCATAATCAACAATTATAATATAGGTAATGTTTTATTTTTTAACTTTTTATAACTCATCTCTTTAAAAGTTTAAACGTATTTTACAAAAATAACAAGTGGCCTCATGAAGACAAAATATTTGTGCCAAATTTTTCACACAATTCTTGTGTTGAGCATTATAATCCCTACTGGCAAATTTCCAATATTCATTGTAGATTCGTCGCAGATTTCCTATCTAGTTTTGGCAATACAGAGACTAACCAGAGCAAACAAGCTAATGCCCATGAACAAATAACAGTATAAATATTATGTACATAAATCTTATCGTGTAAAACTTCTTTTAAATAAACAGCTGTTCTTTTAAGCTCGATATCTAGTCATTATAAATATAAGTACCAGACTAGTTTAGTCGGAAGAAGCGTAAGCGAATTCTTTTGCAGAACAATCTAGATGTAAGCAGTGAGGTATAAACCTCTCTTACATAGAGAGTAGCGTTTCGTACGGACACACGTCTTCATACTAATAAGTAATAACAAATAGCGGACAATAAGTTTAACAAGTACGCTAACGTAAATGTTTCCAGACTTAGTTACGATATAATACGTGGAAATCATATGACGACAACAGAATTCGTTATATCACTTAGCGATGCATCGTTTAGAATAGATATAATTGTAGAATAAAATGCCTATTGCAAATATGTATGTACATAATAATATGTAACATATAGTAACAAAATTGAAAATGCCTACAAGAATATAATCAACTAACAATTTGTTTTCTATTACTAAATCGGTCCTTCGAACAATAATAAATTAATATTACCTAAACATATATTAAAATACAAATCGAACTCAATATTTAACAGTTTTATTATTTAGAAAATTAGAATTATTGAATAAAGGGTTCAAAGTCGAATTCATAGGTCATATTATAATAGGATATCTTTATATATATAATTCTTCTGTGAGTGTATATGTCACTGAACTTCTCTCAAACGACTGGACCGATTTTGATGAAATTTTTTGTGTGTGTTCAAGGGGATCTGGGAATGGTTTAGATTCACAATTTGAATAATAATTTTCATCAAAAAAATTATTAAAAAAAGTTTGAAATTTTCAAATTAAAGACGTGTAGACAGGACAACGTCTGTCGGGTCCGCTAGTGTTGATATAATTGAATACTTAAAATATGACAGACTTTATATTTTTAATTTAATTTGAAAATAAATCGGTTTAGTTTCTACATGTAACGTAGCTTTAAAGTGATTAGAATACAAATACGTATACCGTGAAATGGATGTTCATTTTATTTGTATTATATATCTTCCGTAATGCACGCAATGCATATTATAGTTTAACTTAATTATACTATTGGTTGATCAAACTATCAAACTCTAGAAATTTTAGTACATAAGCATCATATGTTTAGTTATTTACATAACAAATCTCAAGCCGGTATTTTTTAAGGACTTTTGTCAGCAAAAAAGTAAGTTCAAAAACTAAAACCCGACTACAGAAAAAAAACTCTAAAAAGACGTATGAAACAAGAAAATATTCTCATTCATTGAAATGTGCTAGTTAAATCCTTTCATTTGATACCCAACATGGTATCGTTATAATTTTTTTAGTTTATGATTTTTTCCATTAAAATGCGCCATATTAAATTTAATGTGACGTCACATAGCCGACGTCACCAGCGGACGATCAAGACATTTCCAACAATATCTCATTTGTCAAATTATGATAAGTAATTTAGAAGTTAGGAGGGAACAGGTGAACATACATATGTACATACCGGTTAAAATCATAGCCCTCATTTTGCTTCGCCGTAGTCGGGTAAAAAATTAATGTATGAAGGTCTGACTTTCCATAGTTTGATAAGCGGATGTAGTTTAAATAAAAAAATACTTTCAAAACAAGGTCTCTAGTTTAAATTAAAAAATCTAGCTTCAATGGAAGTTAATAACAATTTATAATTTCATTACGAAATAAAATGTTTTGAGTTACCAAACCAGTGAACACCAATCCGTATTATCAAGTTACGTAAAATTCTAACGATAGATATTCTTAGATAAATGTTAAGTCCTTCAGCCTTGAAGATTAAATATTCCACGCGCTGTAAATTAAATTATGCATCAGTATATATTTATTTCATAATTCGATTATTCGTTACTGAAAATACCTATATTACAGACTATTCTATAACACACAGTTATTATTTTCATAATTATTATACGTATACTAACATATTTAGAGAATTAAATAATAATAATAAAAAATAATTACATACTATTATCAACATCTTTCTTCTATGAATCTGTTTGGTCTTTAAGTCCACATATTTTATATAAGCATACGTACCTACTGCTTTAGAGACCTACATTTTAATATCTATCATAACGTAAAGCCAATTACGAATTTGATATCAAAAGCACATTCAGTGTTGTATAAAATATACATAACGAGCTTGTTTTAAAGTTTACTCAAATATATTATGATAAATGACGTTTTGCGAGTATATAGAATTGTTTAACGTTTTTTTTTTTCAATATTATTCATATTAATATCTTAATTATTTCTACAAAATAATATGTTCTGAATATTTGAAAATCGAAAGGAGTATCAAGCTAGCTTGATATAAGGTGGGATTGAGAATTCATTCATTCACGGAATTTGTAGATTCATCGATTTCAGTTTTTTTTTTTATTTAGTTTAGTGCATAGAGTATAACTTTCATATTGAAGAAATATGTTGAATTAAAAAGTGTCATATTTACCACTTTAAACCGAGATCGAAGCACTCCTAGTTTTCCGAAACGCACGTGGAAGGGTGAGCAGGTAAAGCTGCCATCGGGTTGCTCCACTACTACCACATCGATAGCACCAGTCAAAGTAGCACTATTGATTTCGTTGTAAAACTCATAAAAGTTCGCGAAGAACTTTCCAATATAGTTCATAGAATACATGCCTGCAGATTTTTTCTTAGACATTCCAAGTTAACGATTCACTACAGATTCTATTTCGATTTAAATATCCTGCTTCTTCTGTTCACAATGATAATATATGAAAAATTACCCCATTTTGACTTTGAGTAAACGCTGACAAAACACCTGAAACAAAAAAAACCTTGTTTAAATGAACATATTATGTATGTATGTATGTAATTGTTACTTATTTTGTAGATCAGAATTTCCAAGGATGCTTTTAATTGATGATGCTATTAAATCATTTAAATAATACCTACGATGGAATTGATTACAGTTTTTAAGGTAACTAAATCGTCGATTCTCAATAGGATTAACTGCCTCGGTGTCGGTGTGTCTAGTGGCTAGCATGTACCGTCGTAGATCCGGAGGTCTTGGATTCAAGTCTCAGGTCAGGCCAAGTTCAGTCAGACAGACAGACAGACAGAGAAGGGAGTCTTAGTAATAGGGTCCCGTTTTACCCTTTGGGTACGGAACCCTAAAAACGGACATCATTATAAAAATATTTTAAACTTGAACTTGTATTTTAAGTCTTTAAGAGATAATTCCATACCACCTATTATATCTTGTATTCATTCCTTGCATCTACATAAACTTTGAAACAAGCGCTGTTAAGGTACCTACCACAAACGTATCAGGACTAATCAAATATAAAAATATCATAAAAAATATCTCCATGACCTTTACAGACATTTGGAGTATACAAGAATCAAATCCGCAATTATCTATACATATTTGTAGATAACTTTCGTAACCACTGCGTCAATATTATAAATTATGATACTGGCAGTAATTAGTATTTGCGTCATAAATTATTTTTATATTATGTTATAACTAATGAAAAATTCAAAAGAAAAAAGTAAGTAAAACACGTATAATCGGATGATTCAACAGTAATCATATCACATTACGATTTAAAAAGCCTCAACATCCGGGTACGATATTAAGTGTGTCAAAATTGAAGATATTCCTAAAAGGGTCGTTGAACTAAACATGTTATAAATAATTAAGATAAATTTTGAAAAATATTATAAATTATTCAATTTACGCATGCAAATATATGAAGCCTCTTAGAGACCATGCAAGAAATGTATAGAATTTTAAATTTCCTGATTATTAATGCATTATACTAATTTATTATGGCATGATTATTAAATTATGATAACTACTTTTTGCAGGAATAGAACTAATAATCATGGATAAGTGTCGTTGAGAAATTATAGTATAAAAAATCAAGTAACACCGTACTATTTAATAAAACAAGCATTTGTGCAACAACTTGTTTCAATAAAGTAAAGAACACTAATTGTATTGTATGTAAGGGGTTTTAAGTTTATATTGAATTATATCCCTCTGCGTGTCTTGAATACGTCATGTAACCTAAGTACCTACACATCATCCATGACATTGGTGTAACTTGGCACGCGTGTCGTGATCGTGACGACGGCCGCTAGAGAACTATGCCCCCACTCAGTAATCCGACAAAATACATAGATTAGATATATTTTGGTACTAAAATTTAACTAATTTATTTAATAGATAAAACTAGACCGTACAAGCTACAAGTAGGTACACAAAATTATCGTTGTCCTTGAATTTTCTAAATTTTCAAAACTGAACCCGTTTTATTGGAAAATTGCCAACATGACCACTTGTTGTACAATCGGTAGGTATTACGTGAAACATGAAACCTGACTGTCATTTATTTATACTGATTACTGACTAGCTATAAATATACTAGCGGACCCGACAGACGTTGTCCTGTCTACACGTCTTTAATTTGAAAATTTCAAACTTTTTTTAATAATTTTTTTGATGAAAATTATTATTCAAATTGTGAATCTAAACCATTGCCAGATCCCCTTGAACACACACAAAAAATTTCATCAAAATCGTTCCAGTCGTTTGAGAGAAGTTCAGTGACATACACACTCACAGAAGAATTATATATATAAAGATGTACATAGGGTGTTTAAAACCACCAGCGTTCGCGTCTCATTTCATTTATGCAAAACAAACTAGATATTCTTACGATTTAAGTTTTTTCTTTACAATATAAAAAGCACCAAAGAAACAAAAGGAAGACAATTTTATTTGTTCATAAAGTTCGAAAATCAGTCAAACTTGAGGAGTATGTAACCACATATTTTTATAGGTCTATAATGTAAGTATATCGTTTAATAAATAATTAATTGAAAAAATTCTGCTAGTAAATTTTTTACCAATTAGTAAAAGACTTTTTATAATACAAATTGAAATTATTCCAGTTAGAATAAATTTTGTTGGACAAAAATAATTGTTACGCATAATCCTAAACGATAACAAGCTATGACGAGTAAAAATTATTATTATCAGAATATCACAATGCATTGTCGTAAAGCACAGAGCTCGACTTATAAGCTCAATATAAGTACGAAAAGCTACCGCTGTTTATGTCTGAAGACGTTTATTAGTAGTGCTTGATAAACAACAACACTGCGATAAACAACTAGACCAAGCTGATCTGTTTACTCATTTAAAATTTTACTCTTGTTTTTGTTTCGACTAGATACATTCCTCTTCACGCTTTAAACTGGAGTCGTTTTAATAAACAAATTTTCTATTGTATAAGTACAAAAAAACAATTTTGTTCTGCTGTTGGATTGAACAAAAAAACATTGCAAAGTTCTTACATCATTGTATTTATTAGTCATTTAATTCTTTGTTAAAATTATTTAATATAATCAAAGATGAAAAAAGTTTAATTACCTATACACATAGGTATAATGCAAATTTTAAAATTTAAATATGATGAGCCCAATAAATAACCAAGAAGTCTTCACATTAAGTACCTAAATTTAGTATTGTCAAATAATTAGAAATAGAGAATTTTATTTTTCTAGAAAACAAATTAAGTTTTATTTCACCTAATTAATAGTTTTAACTACATATTCCCGAGAATACTAACAATAAGTTCAATAACCTCTGTTCAAAGTTATCTTGTTCGTACAAAATGAACACACAAAAGACAAAAAAATCCTGTCTGGAAAATGATTCATTTTTATGTTAAAATTATATATTATAATTATATATACTTTAGTAGTATAATATAATTAAAATAAAATATATATCTTGTAATTATTAACACAAAAGATATACTCAAATAATTATTAATATTCATATTATCCAAGATCATAAAAAAACACAAACATTACTGTTTTAGTATTTTAATATTTTATTACGAAACGTACCTTAATACCTTATTGTTATTAACTGTCTGTACTTAACACTTAACTATATTCAAATGTCAACCAAAATAATTGTTAGTGCGAATTCGCTCACGATCTTAAACACGTCTAGACTACTTTAATTAATCATACACGTGTTACACGCAACGAATATGTTTTTACACTGAATGCAAAATGACTGAGGCAGTGAGCTCTGAGCAGCTGAATGGTTTATAGGCGGATACGTCAGTAACCGATAGCTGCGAAACGATAATTTCGTGTTCCACCGTAGAAAATCGAGGACTATGTCGGTCGTACCATGCAACGTGTTGATCGTATGTTGTGGCGTGATGTCGTACCATTATATTGCGAAAGTAAACGTAACTTCTGTTGCTCGAAAGTATACAAATATTGCATGCGTATACTGCTAAACCTTGATATTAGTCCAATCAGCGATTCTGAACACTGCATTTAGAATAAGTTATAATATGATTCTGTTCTAATAAGCATTTGAACTTTAAAAAATTTGTAATTAGGTCATATAACATATTGCGTATCAATTTATTATTTATTGACTGAAGTCGTCATTTGAGGTTTTCCTACTAAAGCCACACATTGATTCATAAGTCAAGACGACAGACTTTGGATGATGTTTAAAGCAATAAGTAGGTCAGATCTAACCATCTTCATGCTTTAATACTATCCAAAAGGCACACATAGATTTTGCAAACTGAAAATGTCTTATTAAATTTAAACTTTTATTATAAATAAGGAAATATGTTGCAACTTATATAAAAACAACGCATACAAAAAATAACGCAAGTGCATAATATATACTAGTTTCATTTAATTCAATAATAGAACAAAAAATTAGTTAAAATCTGGACCAAGAAAGAACCTATTGTATAAATTCCTTCAGGACGTCCTGAATGAAGAAAATTCAATCTAGTAAAAAATTCGAAATTCTAAGATTACTTATAAAATAAGATAAATTCTATCAATGAACGTTTTTGGAGGATAAATTAAACATATTTTATATACTTGAAAAAATTACAGGTCCATAGGTAAAAAATAAATGAATGAGATTCGTTGGAGAATAGTGTAAAAAATTTAAAACATTATGGTAAAATACGACGACCTTATTAGTCTAGGAATGGGTGTGTCGTGACGTATTGTTTACAACAAAGACGTGGCGCCGGAGTTGCGGATTCCTGTTGCGTATTATTAAATTCGCACAAGGCTACTTCTAAGCTACCAATGTCACAAGTTGACCCACTTTCAACCTTATGCCAATGACGGAACGTCCAAAATAAGTAACGCTCACAACTATGTGAGCACAATATCGTTATCATCGCGAATATTTTTACTGTAAATGCGTATTAATGCGCATGCGGAAACAAAAACATGTTTGTGTGATAACATTCATATGTATAATAAGTTATTATCGAAATCTTGATCGATTGATCTGTAATATTCGCTATCCAGCATAAAAACATAATATATTTTTACGTAATTAGTAATTGCTTACTGAAGTTCGTGAGAAATGCCTCAGTATCTCAAAAATGTATAATATAAATGTAAATAACATTGATATAGCCTAGCCTAATCACAACATTTCTAAGGTACTTTATCTATTCTAATAAATAAAGCTGAAGAGTTTGCTTTCTTGTCTATTTGTCTAGAACTACCAGTCCAATTTGAAAATTTCATTTTGGCTATATACAGCCTATTTATTGAGATAAGCTATAACTTATAAGGCTACCTAACGTAACTCACTACGACCTTTACTAGCGCAGTATG